TGTGTGAATGTTTGTGTCCCCCCAAATTCCCATGTTAAAATCCTAACCGCCAAAATGATAGTGTTAGGTGGGGCCACCAGGAAGTGGCTCACTCATGGGTTAGTGTCCTTCTAAAACAAAGACCCAAGGAAGTTCCCTCGGTCCTCTGCCATCGGAGTTAGAGCTGGAGGGCATCACCTGTGAGACAGACAGCTGGCTCTCCCCAGACCCCAAATCTGCCAGCCCCTTGATCTTGGACTTCCCAGCCTCCCAAACCCTGAGAGATATGTTCCTGTTGTTTCTAAGCTGGCATGTTGCTAGAGCAGCCCAAGGAGACACAGACACACACCAAGCTTGTGGGACTTGTTACAGAAGCCACAGGGAACTAATACCCCGGTGCCAGGGGTCCTTGGCCACTGAGTAGTGAAGCCTCCGAGAGGCAGGACCACTGAGGGGCTCTCCTCCGTGAGGAGCGTTAGAATCACCCAGGAAACTTTAAAACAAAACAAAAAATCAATGTCCACAGTCCATCCCAGAACAGTATGAGAAGAACCTGTTGGGAAGGGACTATAAACCACTCATTTAGAGGCTGCTTGGCTGAATGTACCCAGGAGGTGGGGTGGGGCGCTATCACATCAGAACAAACACAAAATACACTTCCTCGTGCTCGAGGAGAACTCTCAAGCCGCCTTGAGATAGGGATACAACAGTCAGCTAGGTAACCCCTCAAACATACACCAGCTTCTCAATATGCAGGCCAACATCTTACATGAAGAAATATCAAATTCCAGACTTCACATGTTCTGTTTCACCTAAATCGGTCAACGATTTGACTTGCCTCGTATTAAGAACCCATCAGCATTTATTTCCACAGATGGGAATTATTTGCCATACAGCTTACATGAGGTTTGCGCGTGCCTCCAATCCAACACCTCTTCTCTACTTAACACATTTACAGCTAAAACTGTGGTAAAATCTAGGCAAGTGGGTCCCCTGCCCCAAACATTTTCTATCGATGTGAATACCATGGTCTCCAAGACCAGGTTCAGGCCGCCTGCAGAAGAAACATTCTGCTTACTAATTCATTACGAAAACCACCTTGGAGTAACGATTCTAGGCGACGGGCTGTCAGCATCCAGATGAATAAAGGCAAAGTCTTGTTGGAGAGGTACCTCAGTTCCTGGGGCACGCGCTGCTGCTCAGGACCTAGCCAGGTGCTACGGTCTACAATTAAGCATTCACCCACAAGCTTATGGAAAAGACGTCTCAAGGCCTCGTTTCTGGGCCTGGATGCCGATCTTGATCTTCCAGCATTTCTAGCATTCAGGGACCGGCATCAACGCTCCTTGGCAGAATCCGTGTCTCCTTGTTTTATATGTACAGTAGCCAGGTTGGAGCTTGGCACTAGGTAGATGAATCAGAAATCGTTCAGTTGGCTACAATGACCCACAGCTGTTACACATGCTTAGGCACCACTGGAACCTACCTCAGTGCAGAGGTGAATAAAACAATTTAGGGTCTTAATTATTCCCACTACCACATCCTGGGGGTTAGAATATAGATTCTTCCATCAACAGCCCGAAACAGCACTGCAGCTGCAGTGAGGGGGTACATCTCCCCCACAGGAAGTTCTCCCAGATGTTTCACACACCCTCCGCCCCAGCCCCTGGGCAGGGCCACCATCTGGGGGAAGACTGGCAGCATGTGGATTTTGGAAAGGGTCCCAGGTGGCTGAGCTGCCACTGAAGTGCCACCAGCAGTTCACAGTTGGCTACCCATCTCCTGTGCAGAAAGCTGTCAGGAGCTGAAGATTCCCCAAACTTAACGCCCTGTGAGGTTTCATCAGGCTAGTAGCTGACCACCTTTACAGAACTGGTTTGCCCCGTCTAGGGGGTTGTCTTTAAAAAAACTAAGAACCAGAAGTAGAACGCCTCCATCTCTGATTATGAAACTGAAATAATCAGGCTGCTCCCCTGAAGGGCCATGTGACAGGATGTTCGGTTAAGCAGAACTTTTTCCAACCGACACTGACGACAGAGGTGCTGGGCTATGGCCCATTTAGAACCAACTGTCAGCTTCCCATTCAATATGCGGCCCCTCTCAGCCCAGGGGTGCAACATTTTTCTCTTGCCTCTCATTTTATTTCTTGGCTCACAGCATTTCATTCTTGTATTAATTGGCTTCATTTTTAATGTCTGTCTTCTGTGACCTCTCCAAATTCTCTACGAAGGGGGTAAGGCCAGCGGAGCAAATGATCTTTTCAGGGCCCTGCTTCTCATCATCACGGAATTATGAATGGAAAGCAACAGATGTGAAACAAAGACATGATGAATCGAACACAGTAAAATATTTATTAAGGTCACAATGCACGATTAGACTCTTCTTAACGGAAAGATAATTCAAGAGCAACCAATTTATAAAGTTTGCCGCACTACCACATTTCAACAAAACAGAGAACATCAGATAAATTATAGTGATCTGCGTGAAAAGATCCATTAAGTTATCTTACCTCTGCAGTAAAGTACCATAAATGCAGTTAGTACCATAAAGTCAGTAGGAGTGATCTTCCTGGCCCACTCCGCCCATCCATCCTCCGGGAACGCACAGGCTGTGCTGAGCGGACTTGGCAGGAGGCTTCGAGGCCGCTGCTTTTCCCCCTACATCATAACCGATTTCAAATGGTGCTAGACAAAAACAGACTCTGAACACCAGGAGAAATCGGTCAGCCTGTGTAAGAGATGGGTCCGGGGGTGCTCCTGGGGGGCCCGCACTGGCAACGCAGGGGGCAGGTGTGGCGTCAGCCGCGCTGCAACTGAGCTGAATGTTCGCAGACGCCTACAGCAGGCGGGCAGTGCCGATGGGACGCAACAGGCGTGCGGGGGCACAGGCCCCTCCCCTCCCTGCTTCAGTCCATGACCCAGCCCAGCACTGCCCCAGGCTACCGGGGGGCACCCGCTGCCAGTGGGGAGGCGCGTCACAACCGACGGCCCTACTTGAGCCGCTGAGTGTCTCTGAAGCACACCCACCCCCTCCCGCACTGTCACCCCTCCACGGCCCAACACAAGAGCGCGTTTTGCTTTGCAAGGTCTTCCTCTGCACCCCGCTCAGGAGGCAGGCCAGGAGCCCGTCCCGCCCGCCGCAGCCCCTCTGCAGTCGGCCCTTCGCTGCGCTGCAATTCTTACTCCTAAAACACTGATTTCAAATGGTGCTAGATACAAAGATGGGAAAATCTAAGCCACCATGTGAAACCAGCTTCCAGAAGAAGAGGATCTCACTGAAGAAACGAGGGAGATGCACTAGGAAGGTCCAGCCTCTGCCCTGAGGAGCAACGTCTTCTCGCAGTTCCACTGGTGGTGTGACCGCAGACACATTTCCTCTGATACCACAGCCAAGAGAGAGAGAGAGAGAGAGAGAGAGAGAGAGAGAGAGAGAGGAGACACGTAGCACCTGTACCTTTCGGGGTCCCTACCAGTTCCTTAGGCATCTACATCCAGGCTGGTATTTGTTACGGCTCCTGGAAGGAAAGGAACGTGCCACTCCAGGGAAAAGGGAAGAAAAATTTGAACGGAGTTGTGCTCTTGACTGGTCGCATAGTCTGAAATGCAAGCAGAGGCTATTTCCACGTTCACAGAAGAAACTGCCCCTACCACAGTTCAACAGCTTGTCCACAGGTGCAATGACTAGGAAATGGTGTAGATGCAGCTCTAACTCCAAAGTCTGTGCTCCTGCCCCTCTGCCCCCTGCCTCCCGCTCCACAGCTGAACCATCTCTGTTCTCAATTATGAGCAAGACTGGGGCAGGGAGAATCACGGGCAGTATTTTTGCCCAGAAGTAACATGTTACCGATGATACAACACATAAACTCACGTGGCGACAGGAGCTCAGCGGGCCTCCAAGGGCCCAGGTGGTTTGAGGGTTCTCGCTTTGTTCTCCTGCATCTCTGGTGCCCCTGTGCCCTCCCATGGCCGTGGCAGTGGAGACCACGGCAACATCTGCACAGGACTCCCGAGTGCTTTGGACACCAGCCTAGCCCTGCAGGCCTCTGAGGCCACCCGCTGTCAACAGCTGGACCCCGTAGATCAGGTCATGTAGGGTTTTAAGGTCACAGTGAGTGTTAAATGGCTCCACTATACCTTCGGATCTGAATCCTATGAAATGAGGGGGTTGGAGTTCTACACTGCATAATTCTCAGCTTTTCTGCTTTTTACTCTCACCGCACACTTCTTCCTTGGCAACTCCCCGTCGCCAGCATCCCCAAAACCCTTTCCTAAGGAGTCGTCCCTCGGGTCTCCTGAGTGATCCACTCCTCCTCCCCGCCGAGGCCTCTGCGTAAGCGGTTCCCTCTCCTCTCCCGGGGACGCTCTCCATCCGCTCCATCCTGGAGCCACCTCCTCCCACCAACCCACCCAGGTAACCCAGGCCTAAGTCGTCCTCCAGCAATCAAGAGAGCGTCCCCCAGTCCAGCCAGGTCATCTGTCACAGCGTCTTGGGCTTGCCCTTCAGAACACATTTATGCCACGTAGTCATCAGGGTGGCAATCGCTGTCTCTCCTGCCCCCCAGGGCATGTCAGCCCAGAGCTCAGAGCAGCGGCTGCACACAGAAGAGCAGCAGCCGCCACCGTGGAACTAACAGGCGCGCACTGCAGTTCGGGCTCTGGACTCCTGAGCTCTAAAACACTCTCAGTCGGAAGAAGACACTAGAAATCATTCACAACACACCACTGTAAACACTCTAAAAGAAGGTGTGTGTTGGGGGGAAGTGACCTTAGAACCAAAGCCTTCTGCCCTTCCAATCCCACTGGATAAAAGGTCTGTTCAGATGTCAGCCCTCCCAACAGAACCAGGCTGCTTCTCTCAGAATCTGCTGAGCAATGACTCACTTACCTGAAACAAGCTGGTGTTTTGTTTCCTAGCTGGATGTAGCCCGGCAGTTTGGAATAGGCTGGAAGGGGCTTGACCTTCACCTGTGAGGAGGCAGCCCCTCAAAGTTCCAGCCCACTGCTGTCAACGGCCGGTGGCAGGATCTCCCATCTTGGCCTAATGGCCCATGAAAACTGGCCAGTAGAAAAGGGCTTGGTGGGTTGCCTGGGAAGGAAGGCCGCCCACCCAGAAGGGTGGATTATGTCAGCTCTGGGAGGGGCCGGCTTGCAGGAAGACGGTTTGGGGAACACACTGCATGCAGCCCTAGTCCATTTCTGTGCCCACATTCTATTTGGAGGTTTTTCCGCCCCCTCATGCCTAGGACACTCCTCTGCCTGGGCAGGGAGGGACCTGAGGGTGGGAGAAAGGTCACCACCCAGTCAATCAGAACACAGTGGCTTTAATTCCTGCTCGCCCCGGACTCTGCGACCAGGAGCCGGCACTTCCCTGCAGTGGCCTCCACGCGTTCACCTGAAACGGGAGGCAGCTGGCACACACCGGTCCACACACACTCACACGCTCTGGGGCTCGGCAGCCAACTAAACCAAAGAAGCGGCGGCAGCTTGCAGCAGCGGTACAGTGACCTGGAGAGGCTTTTTTGCCTAAGGGCATGCAAAATCAGACACATCCAAAAAAAAAAAAAGACCTCTGTGTGGGTCAAACAAAAACATCTGAGGGTTAAATACAATTCATGAGCTGTTGTTTAAAGAACCCTCTGGAGACGGCAAAGAGAGCTCCTGCTGCATTGTCTGTGTCTTTCAAAGGCCTAAAATTCCTGTGCCCAGCATGGTGCCCAAAAAATAACATGGGAGCAAAATGGAGAGGAAAGGGATCCCGTTCATGAAATCCCTATGCAAACCCAGGGAAGAACATCTCTTCGCCCCCAGGAACTTCAGGCTGCTGGCTTGTTCAGTGCCACAATGTGTCCAAATCCAGAACGCGGGGATGCTTCCTGCCGGGCGGCTTCTCCTTCCCGACCCGTCGGTGCTGAGTCACAGCTACTTACGGGACTGGCGGGTGCTGAGTCACGGCTACTTACGGGCCTGACGCAAGTTCCAGCCTGGGCGGGGGAGGGGCGCAGGAAGCAGAGCCCGGACCACCCGTCCTCCTGCCACGGGCAATGCTGGCTTCAGGGCTCCTGGCAGTGAGGAAGTCATCTTGGTGAGGCAGGGCCCTGGGGAGAGTCCTTTTGAAAAAGGGGATCGTTCTGCCCTCCAGACAGTCCCGGACCCTTTCGTGTATGAACAGAGATGCCCAGCCCAGCTTCCGGTCACTCTCTGCTCTGGCTCAGGCCCCATGTCCTGGACGTTTTGTCTTGAGCTGTGAGGGTGAGGCCTGCTGCCAACTAGTTGAATCGCAAGAAAGGGTGATTAAAATGAAGGGTGCGGGGTCCAGGGTGGAGGGCAGCGTGGAGTTGGCTCTCTTTCTGGCAGCTTAGCCACCAAAAGGTCTCAGCATCCTGGGACCACCAGTTCCTAGGCCCTGGATCTCCAAATGGGAGTAACACGCTCCAGACCCAGGGAGACCCCCAGAATGCCCGCTGAGGTGACAGGTCAGGAGGGCACGGCCCTCCCGGCTGGCGTGGGCCTAGCAGCAGCAGTAGCTCCACTTTCCCTGGGGGGCCATCGGGGTGCAGAAGCCTGCGTCCCTGGGCAGCTGCTCTCCATAGTTACGGTTTCCGTCCCTTCCTCAACACCGCAAGCCAAAACCTGGGTCTGGAAGTCTCCCAGGCCCAGTACAGGGCCTGCAGGCCCAGGGCCGGGCTGGCTGGCCGGGAGGGTGGCCGTGGCTGCCCTGGGGAGTCCAGGGCAGCAGGAGGCAGTGGGGAGCAAAAGGAAGGCGGGGGAGGCATGATGTCTCTCTGTTCCCCCAGAGAGCGGCTCAGCCCAGGCCCGGGAGGGCTGGCCCGGGAGGGCTGGCACACTGGCACAGCCCCGACCTACTTTTCCACCGGGGGAAGAGGCAGCGGGCCTGCAGTCTGTCACGTCACACAGACACGATGCCCGCCACGTGTCTCAAAGGGACAAGCAGTGTCCAAACCAAAGGAAACCACCACTGCTTCTCTGGCGTCACTCCCAAATCACCTGCCCAATGGTAAAGAGGGCCTTACAAGTGAGGTCTAACCCCGGGGGTTGGGGAGAGCTGCCCCAAAGCCTGGCTTCCTCCCCTCGCCAGGTGGAGGGGGTCCCTGCAACTTCAGCTGCCAGGAGTCACCGGCAGACTGTCTGCCACGGGTGCCCCCCCAGAGGGCTGCACGCCTGCTGGCTGGTAGAAGCACAAGGCACCCTCCTATCCCCGGGCCTCCTCCAGAGGCTCATCCCAGCCTCTGCTGCTCAGCCCCCACTCCTCCTGGAGTGAAGAGCATCCCTCTAAGTCAGACAGCCTCCCTGGGGCATGGCCCCAGTGGGCACCAGGAGGCGGGCGTCGGGCGCAGCCACTGACCTCCAAGTGGTGGCTCTGCCAGCAGCGGGCACACACCTGGGAGAGCACATGGACTGGGGCACACGCCGTGACGTGGCTGGTTCCACTTCCCCAGTCGGGGGAGGGAGGCTGCGCAGACAGAGGGTAGGTCCAGAGTCCAAAGCCAAGCTGGAGCGCCCTCTCTCCTGCTTCCCCTGCAGCTGGCCAGGGAGCTGCACCTACACTGCTATGCCAGCCTCATTCTCTTATCAGGACCTCTGTGCCTGCCAGTCTCTGGACCTGGAACATGAGTGGTGGGAGGAGGCGGGAGGAGGAGGGGGAGAGGGCAGAGGGGAGGAGGAAGTTTCAAAGTCTGGTACATTCCCATCAGATCAGAGAGAGGGGAACACGTACAACTTCCCTTTTTCAAGCCTTCTCTGCCCCCGTTTTGATCTCGGTTCCTTCCCCTCTGGACTGGGGATGGCATGGCTGGTGGGCCAGGCAGGGGCAGGAGCCCAGGTACCCGGCCAGCTGGGCTCTTGCCAAGCTCCATCTCAGGCCAGCAGGCCCCCGTTACCCGGCATGCCCTTCTCCTTGTCAGGGAGGCCTCACCCTCTTGTTTTCAAAGTTTTATAACAGTATTGTTTGTTGTCCAGCAGATTAAATTCTTTCGGAGCCCGGAGGAGGGGGGCTGAGGGAGGGAGATGGGGAAAAGAGAGCAGGAGAGAAAATACAAATAACTTCCCTTAGGGCCAAAAGAGTAAATGAGCTCCTTTTTGAACACAGAGTTCACCTGTCTTGGAGAGAGGCCAGCGGCCAGGAGACCGTGTTCCCTTCCTCAATGCCCCTGTTCCCCTCTCCCCCTCCCTGTCACCCTCCACGGTGACACATGGTCTCAGATTTCAAGGCTACCACTCATGGCTCAAGCTGAAAAGAAGAAACAGCTGGTAGTATTGGGGATACTCCATGACTGAGTAACCCCTACACCAAATAGGTTGTGGGGCCCGGCTGGTCCTAGCTAGGGACACCCTTGATTCCCATCTCCTCCAGGGTCTCGATGGCCCTGTTCCAGGACCAGGTGGGGATGGGGTTCTGCAGGCAGCCACCCCTCTCGGAGATGGTTCATCTCCGCACTGAGCTTGTGGCTTGTTCACATTTGAAAAAGGAATACACTTACTGATACAGGGAGACTGGAAGGGCTGTACTCTGGGGAGATACCAGCACAGAGGCAGGAACAACACTTGTGTACACCTAAGGAATAAATAAGAGTGGGAAACCAGAAAGAAGGAAGACAAAAATTCAATACAAAATAAAATAAGCATGTTCTTACAGACAGGGTGCCCACTGAAAGGTCCCTGACCTTTCAATGCTAAATCTGCAGGCAGTAATAACACTAAAGGATATAGGAGTCTCCGTATATCAAACAACCCTTATCTGGCCATTAGCTGGCTTATTCCAGACTTTGGGGCCACCTCTGAGCCCACGTAAACACTCTCATGCCTTTAGCACAGTAAGCAAGGCCTGGGGCCCCGGCGCTGCGGACCTGCCCCACAATGTCCCTCTTCCATCTCCCACCGTCTTTCCAGCGAACCATGACGGGCTCTGCCCCCTGCAGCCCCACGCGCTACACTTGTCCAGTGGCTACCAAAGGTCCCTGGGGCTGAAGGGAATCAGCAGGGGTAGGTGGTGGCACGAATACAGGCTCAGAGCCGCTCAGGTTCTTTCCTGGCAGGGATGAGGGACAAAATACCTCTCTCTTTTTTTTATCTGCAAATAATATGAATCCTATAGGGTCAGTTCCAGAAGTTCCCTCTGCAAGGGGACCCCAGGTTAGAGCTCCAGGCACAGGCTCAAGCACCTCTCCCCCCAGCCTGGCCACACCCAGCTTAGGTCTGCCTCAAAGGCAGAAAGAAAAGATGGAGAGTGCCTACACGGGGTCCCGTCAAGGACTTCGGTCCCTGCTTTCAGATACGGAGGCTTCATCTTTTCTTGGGAGCCCCCTAGCCAAGGGCACGTCACAGCTGTCCCTGAAGTACGGACTGGGTCCCCTCCCTGGGGCAGGTTCAGCCATCCTCCAGACAAGCAGAAAGAGCTGGATCCCACATGACAAATCCTCACACATAAAGTCATCAAAGGTTTCGTCCAGCAAACGGTTCTCCTGTGGGGTCCCCATGGCAGGGTTTCCCTACAAGTCAAGGCCACATTCATGGGATACGAATGGACGGAAATTCACAGACATGCACGTGCTGCCCCCTCAAGGAACACCCCAGATGAGGCCTAAACAGCTGGGGCTACATGTGCTCACAATAAACACCTCTCTTCCCCTTCATGTGAGTTCTGGGTCTGCGTGAGTGAAGGTCGCTCAGAGGAAGATGCGGAGGACACGTTCTGCCCCAGCGCCCTTAGAGAGAGACGGTTAGGCTCAACAGTCGGAACACAGAAGCCCAAGAATTCTCTGATCCACCTTCTTCGCCATAGGGAAGGCCTACTTTTCCAAGTCAAACACGAAGCAGACATTCAGAGCTGAAGCTGACGTTTCTACTTTCTTACTTTACATCGCACATCAGCCAGTTCTTCCAGCAGGTGCTGTACATTAATTAGCCCGCAAACAGGTAACATATACACACATGCTGGGCAAAGCTCCGGGCATACCTTATAAATCTGCTGGGAAAACTGCCAGCTCCCACAATGAAGCTCGTTTCTAAGAGAGCCACTTACCAGAAATATGACAATATGCCCATGCATGAACAGCCAGACAGCTGTGTCAGAATGGTTTGAAGCACCGCATATTCCATATTCTGGCTCGGTTTCATCAGCACAGGAATAATCCCACCTACCCACCACGGGCTGCGTGAGATCAAGGGAGTCCGCTAATCTGCAAAGAGCTGTGAAGTGTCACCGACGGGAGTGAGAGATGGTCGCTGACCAGTTTTCTCCGGCCTGGCCCACATCCCAGTCGGCTACACCGCACTGGGGTGGGATGGGGTGGGGAGCCCTTAGCTGTGAATCCCAGGTGAGCGTGCAGTAAAGCAGTGAGCAGGGAGCCCTGGAGAAACGCAGCCTGGGAAATGGGGAGTGAGGTTCCACAGAGGAGCCGGCCACCGCCCAGCCACTCCTGGCCCCAGGCCGGCCTTTCACAGCGGCCTGGGAGGGGCTGGGACCCTGGGCTTCCCTGCATGTGCTTCCGTTTTGCTCTTTTAAAGAGGGAATCAGGACTGAAAAACCAAATGGAACTGGTAGCTCTGAGATATTTTTGTTTTTTCCCTTTTCTCTCATCTTTTTTTAAATAGAAGGGCTTAAACGACCACGTGAGAAAAGTTGGCTAAATATAAATGAAAACTTCTTGACAGCAAGGGGCACAGATCCTGAACAGGTGTCCCGGGGAAGGCACAGGACGGACCTTGGGGACCCGCAGTCCCGCTCACCCCCTGGCACTCGGGGCCAGAAGGTGGGACTGTTCCACCGGGCAGCACATCTCATGCCGGCCCATGGGCCCGCACGCCCATCTGCAGGCAGGCCTCGTGGTGGGGCCGAGGGTGCGCCGCCCTACCACCCGGACGCTCCCCAGGCACCTTCAGCCTTCACCAGCACCTTCCCACTTATTTTTTGGGCGGGAAGGGCGGGGGGCATCTTTCAGAACTGTCTCTGCCCGCGGGTCCGGACCAACGGCAACAGTCTCCCCAGAAAGCACACCTGCAGCGGCTCTCTGGCCTGCGGGACCCCTCCCTCTCGTCTCAGGTCTGGTTTCCTCGTCCCCAGTTTCTTGCTGAGAAATAACCTCCACAAACATCCAGGGGGCCCCCATGTCCAAGTGGGCAGAACCTCCAAAGAGATTCTGATTCAACCCCCTCATTCTATAAATAATGGAGCTGAGTCCCAGGGAGGTAGTGACTGAGTTTTCACCACGGGGGCCAGGGCCAGAACCCAGGCCTGCCAGCGTAAGCCCTACGTTCCCCAGCCCCCAGGGCACTACACCACCGAGACCTGTCCCGCATCCCCAGGCAGCAGCAGCCCCCTAGCGGCAGGGGGCGGTCCCCGGGGTCCGGGTGGGCCAGGTGTCCACCACGGGGCCATCACGGGACAAACCGCGTAGTGGGACGCGCCTCTGCTGCCTCCACGCCACAAACAGGTGCCGAGCCCCAGAGCCGCACAAACGCTGGAAACATCCCCGCCCCCATCTCCAGCTGCAACCTCCGAAGACCCAGAGCTGTCCAGGCACCCGACACAAGGGGCCCCCGTCTCCTCCCCTCCTCAGCCGGTTCCCTCCCTATCGCCACCATCTTGGAACACCGCGCGCTGGCAGGAGAGGCGGAGCTGGGTTCTGCCTCCAGTAGGCACACTCTTTACCAGTGACTCAGCAAAGAAAGTGCTCTCCCGTGTGGCATGGGCAAGACAGGGGCACGGTGACCGGGCCGAGGTGGAGACATAGCTGGCACCTGGTGAGGGGGAGACGGAAGGCCAAGAGCGGCCACGGCTTGTGGAAAAATCCCTAGTCTGCTGGTGACCAAAGGCTTGGCACTGCCAGCGCTGCCTGGGTCGCTGACTCACTGCAAGGCCCTGTAAGCTACAGAGACCCTGGATGATTCTTCCGGTGCCAGGAAAAGAGAGGGGTTAGCACCCGTACCAATTCTAATGCCGTGGAAGCTGATCAATATGGCTTCCCCAGGGGGCTGAAGGCCTTCAGTCTCTACTGTTCCCTCCTTGGCCAAATCTGGAAACCCTCTTCTTAACGTACAGGTGCCCTCCTCTCCTCTTCCATATATGGCTACTTTATATGTTTTTAAGTTCTATTTTTTTATCATGATGACTTCTCCCCACATGAGAAGTACACCCCACAAGAGCAGAGACCTGGTTCTGCTGAGTTCTGTGTCCCCAGCACCTGGTACAGGCCCTGGCATAGAGCAGAGGCTGAATATGTATTTGTACAGGGACTGTATCTGCCATGCCTGTACATGGACACCAAAGAGGGAGGGGGCACAGCCGTCCCCAGTGACTGCAAAGTTCTCCTGGGAATCTGGCCTTTCACTCTGGTTCACATCAGTTCCCCTGGTTGCCTGTCCTGAGAGTCTTAGCTCCCCAAAATGTCTGACTGCAGCCCAAGGGTGGGTGAAGAAAAAGTACAGGCTTTGGGATCAGAAGTGCCTAGGTTTAAATCCCACTCACCAAGTGTGTCACCTTGGTTGAATCACTTAATAAGGGAAGTAACACCTACAAGGATGAAGTCAGATAAGGAAAGTGGGACCCTTCACAAAGGTCAGCTTCCCTTTCCCTGGACTCTGTGCTGAGACCAAGAACCCCACTGCCCATCTCATGCCCCCTTACAGACCCTGGTCTGGGCTCTACATCCATTCTAGACCACGGTAGGCAGCGCTGGTTCCACACCTCTGGCCTGGATCGATCCTCAGGTCAGACAGGGCACAGCCATCTCCCCACGAGGCTCCCTCCACCCTCCTCCCCTCCGAGGCTCAGCACTATTGCATCAGGCTCTGCATCAGGGCCGGGAGATGCTCTCTAGCTTTATCAGCTGGTGGGCAGCTGCTGTGGAAGGAGCCCGCAAGAAACCAAACCCTCTCTGCTTTCCTCAAAGACACTTAAGCCTCAGAAAAGCAAAGCACAATGAGGGCCTCCCCCAGACAGCCAGCTTGGGGACAAGGGCAGCATCCCTTACATACTCCGGAGGAGGCAACGTGCCCGAAAAAGTGACTGGCACGAGGTACAGATCCTCTCTAAGGCTGTGGCCACAGCCTCTGGGGCACTCATGCCAGGGGACTGAGCCAAGATATGCATTAAACAATTCACAGCCCTGACCAGACCAGGATTCAATGGGAGAGAGAAGGTGCTGACCAATCAGGGACGCCGGCGGGGCCCCTCCCCCATGCCTCCTGGCCAAGCCACACCACCAGGGCTCCAGTGCCACCGGCTCTGTTAACCTCCACTGGACCCCAGATGGAAGGCCGCATGCTGCCTCCTGGCGCCCAGACTGCAAGGATTCAAAGGTCAAGAAGGGAGTGCCAGATACGTCTGGCCCCCCCATCAGGGGCTGCCAACTGCTCTGCCAGCCTGGCTTCTGATATACTGAAGCAGGGAGGAAAGAACTAGATGAAGGACAAAAATAGGAAAATCAACAGGGAAGCATCCACCCAATTCTGGAAGCACCAGAGGCCACCGACAACTGCATCGCAAGAAGCAAAACCAGCTTCTCCTTTGCTTCCCACCCTGGGTATCCCAGTCTGGCCACGGGCAGGGCTATGGATGGGAGCTGGTCACCCAGAGCCAGGCCTGGGGCCGCACCTGGGAGCAGCAGCTCCCGAGCACAGCCAGCAGCCCCATCTGGCTCCAGCCCTAGAGGCGGCGCTGGCCAGACTCTAGCCAACGCACCTGGAGGGACCTGGCCTGCTCCTCTTCACCTCCCCCAGCTGCACCGATGCTGCTGTGTCCCCTCTGTGTCGCAGGTCCAACATCCCGGCCAGCCCTTCCTACATCACTGCTGCAGGGGCTGAGACTTGTCAGATGCCTTGAAGGAAGAGACGCCGGACTGGATTCCTCACATGGCAAGACCGCAAGCTGCTCACAGCCCGTGCACGGACTCGTCTCACATGGGAAGGAGAGCAGAGGAAACACTAGCAGGCAGAGCTCACGAATCCTTCTGGGCAGTGGTGGGAGCAGGTGGGGGAGAGGAAACACCAGCAACCACCACGGGACACGGGCACACAGGTGGGATCCCGCAGGGCCTCCTGGTATCATCTTTCAACCCCACACAAGTCTGGTGTTGGCTAATGCCAACCAGACCTCCTGGCCCAGAACATTGCAGGAAACCTACCTGACAGGAGAGAGGGGTCCTGGTGACGTGGCGAGCACCGGCAGTCCACTTTCCGAATTCTCTCCATGATGTGACAGACCCCCGAGCTCTGCAGGCTGTCATCATTTTAATCACCATTGCATTGCTATTACTTGTGACCAGCATGAAGTGAGGCAGGGGAAAAACATTTCTGCATCAATTGCCCAGCAATGCTTTCCAATGGCTTCCTGGGCCAGGGGTTTTTCTGTTTTTCTTTTTAAGGCTAAGGCAATGAGGGCCCAGAGGGGCCAAGCGATTCACTCAGAAACCCCCACAAGTAGGAAGAAGCCCTAAAGTCCAGTGCCCAGCCCACAGCCCTAAACTAAAGCCCCGCAAGGCTACAGGTGTCTAGAAGGAGAGAGAACATGCACTGGGGCCACACAGGGAAAAGAATGCAGAGCCCGAGGCAGGCTCCTGGCACCTCGGAGGGCTTCAACCCAGGGTCTCCCGCTGGACGTGAGGGGCTATGAGAGTTCCGGGTCATTAGTGCGGGAGGCCCGGCCGCCACTCCCAGCGACACTCCCCAGCATCTCCACACATCCCAGCACCCTGATGGCCTCGGCTGGCTGCCCTTCCCCCAAGCTTTGCTGGTTACTAACCCCATTCACAGAAAATCCAGAAGCAGGAAAATGGAAATAAGGGAGCGATTGTTTGGGAGAATCTGAATGGCGAAGGCTGAGGATTCCCCACTGAACACGGACAGAGGTCTCCAGAAGGGAAGGGGGCAGGGGGAGCCCAGAGGAGGCAGGCCACACCCGACTTACCTCGGAGTGGGGAAGGGGTGAAGTTCTATCTTTCTCGCTGCATCTGGTTTCTAAGTAGCCTGGTGATGGTTCACTGACAAGACCAGGATCGTGTCCCTGGGGTCTTGTCAATCAGCACTTGGGGTCATGGACTCGCAGACGCTGGTGGCTTGACAGCACCGATGAGGAGGCGGCCCCAAGTATCAAGCCCTCTGCACCACCCTGCACCACTCACCTGGTCACCACCCAATCCTCCCAAGGATGGCTGAGTAAACACAGATGGCCAGGAGCTCCAACCATGGGGGAGCGTGGAGGGCAGAGAGCAGACACAATCCTGGATGCCCGCAGCTGACTTGGCCCTCATATATCCTCAAGAAAATCCAAGGAAGGAGGAGGAAGTGGTGGAGGAACACAGGGAAGGCAAGAGGTCCCACAGAAGGAAGAGAGGTCAAAAGACATCCTTGGGCAAAGCAAGGCAAACAGGAAATGAGGAAGACATACGGAGGTTTGTCTACTTTAAGGCCATACTGTGCCCACACCCACATTGTTTTTAGCCACATCATGTGGCCCAGCCCGTCCTCCTCCAAACCCCAAATCCACCGAGAACCACTGGCCCCTCCTGGCTCTCATCGCCCCACAGCACCCTTATCCACATGACCTTTGAATCTATCAGCATCTATAGGGGAAAGGAAAGAAGACTTGGCAGCAATGAAGCAGACACAAATGCACACGGATGCGCACACACATGCAAGCACAGACCCACACACCCCCTTCCCAGAATGCAGGGCCCCTTGGAGATGGCTCACTCTCCCCAGGTTCAGATTCTCTGATAGAAGTGCCCCTCTCCTGCAGGGGAGGGCAGACACGTCCGATAAGAATTACTTAGCACAATGCTATATATAGTCTAGGTTCCTACCAGCCTGAAGATTTGGAGCTAGAACTTGGCAGAGAACCATGCTAGATGCTGGCAAGGACCATCCTCTCCAGTCAGCCAGCCCACGGAGAGCCTCATCTCTCTGCTGGGGCAGCGAGGGCAAGCAGGGCCCTCGCACTCAATCCACTAACACTGCACTGAGGGACATGGGATTTTGGCTCCATTTTAGGGAAAATAGGCTTCTCCTGAATGTGAGGGGGACATGTGGAGGCTGGACGCCGAGTTCTAGCCTCTCTGCAGCTCCCCAACAGCACTAGAAAAATGCATCTCTTTTGGAGGACCAGGGGCAGGGGTGTGTGGGAAAAGAACAGAGAGGGCACAGCAGCTGGCTGGGTTCAATAAACATTTATCCACTTCCGATGTTTAAGGAATAAAAGAATGCAGACATATCCTTCCTGCAGGGAACCAGGCTGCCAGGCATCCCTTTTTTTGTTCCAAATGAATGCAAATGGGCCATTACATCCAATAGTATGAAGGCTGTCTTCTGCACACCAGCTCTGTCCTCAATGGAGCCAAGCCTCCAAGAGGTTGTCACCTACTCACAGAGCAAAACTTCTCTGAGTTCTCTGTGGGGAAGCAGTGAAAGGAGGACAAGTGGGCTCAACAACAATGAACTGTGCAGGCCCCAATCAAGGTCCTGTCTGGGGTTAACATGTGGCCCTGGGACCATGGTCCTCTGCTGCTGCTCACCATACAAGCCATGCTGGGCCCATCATCCTAGAGGAAGGCCAGTCCTGGTGGGCATGGAGGTCTCATCAAGGAGGGCCTGTCTGTCACCTCTTTCAGAAAACAAACCCAAGAGATGAGACCCCTCTGAAATGCAGAACCTGGGCTCTCTTCATATGCACGGCTTCTGGACATAGAAAAACGAGACACAAAGGATCCAACACCCACATATATACAGTTTTTTTTAGGTCAAGTTGCTCTCCACTCAGGCTCAAAAAGACACAACACAAAGGGCCTGGGGCTGCCTTTGCACTCTGGGTGGGGACGGCTGGCTCCTGCCCCTTGCCCTTTCTAACTCTCCACTGTGACCTCGGCCAGGTCTCCCTGCTCTCCTGGCCTCCAAGCCCCAAAGCCACCTCTTCCAGAGATGCCCAGTGAGTCACACCGGGAGCCCCTTGGGGAGAGAAGGAGGTGCTCAGTGACAAATGTCAGTGCTTGCATCATCTATGGGAAAGCGTGAGACTGAAAAATGGCACCTCCCCACAACCGGCACTTGCTTCTGAGAGTAGGCAGGGAGCTCCCAGGCCAGGCTGTGCCTCAGTCCCCACCCACGAGCTGTTTGCTCCTCTGCCCCCGGACACAGGTCAAGGGAGAGAGAGGCAAGCAAGGGAAGCCAGATGCTGGGGATGATGGTTTGGCCGCAGTTCAGGGGCAGTGGAGGCCCATCTTCTCTGAAGGCATGGCGGGGTGGGGCGGGGTGGGGCGGGGGGGGGGGGCAGGCGGGGCAGGCGGGTGGGGCGGGGCGGATGTCACGCGCACAGAGCGCAATGCTGCAGATTCAAGAAAAGTCTAGAACCCTGGAGCCGCCATGATGACACACATACATGCAAAGGTCAAGAACTCAAGGCCCACTATTTCACCTTCAAGAAGGAAGTGAGGAAGATGAAGGGGAGAAAATAAGCTTTGATTTGGAACAATAAGGAAGGGGAGGCTGCAGCAGGTGGCCCAAGAGCTGGCCCTCAGTTTACGGTGGGTGGTGGGGACCCACCATTTCATGTGAGGCCAACAGAGGAAAACTAGGATGCACCTCCCCACGATAGGCACCCGCTCCTGAGCTCCTGGAGCACCAGTGTGCACGAAGGACTGCCAGGCCCACCCCTGCTCCCAGGAGGGACTCACCTTCTGGCCAAGGCAACAGGCCGTGGTGTGAAATTCCAGAGGGTTTTCTGACCCTGAGAAGACGCCTCTGCTTTGGGACCAGTGAGAGAAGCTCGAGAAGTGAATCTGTTTGCCAAGCTCCTCTACTAACATGAACAGCTGCCTTTTCTCCTCAGATTCCAAAATCCCAGGGTCAGCAGAGCCCTGCTGAGTTACCTGGTGTCGCCTCCACCGAAAACGGCCCTCTCCTCTGCCAAGACCCTGCTGAAAATGACTGCAGCCTAAGGGTCAGCTCCAAACCCGACAAGCTGTTTTTGCTGCTTTTGTGTTGACAGAACGTCCTGGCCACTCAGCTGAGCGCTCCATCTCCCAGCTCCCGACACACTGAGTCATCATCCAAGAGGAAAAAAACAACAAAGCAGCCGTCACCAGGGTCCCCACTGCCGTCGGCTGACGACTCACGAGCTGTCGTCACTCTTTGCTCTGCAGCCCTGGAATTGGTGACGAGGGGCTTCAGGGTGCCTGACTCCCCTCCCAGGGGATGCAACAGCGTCAGGAAGCAGGGAGCCAGAGCTGGGATTTGGAAAGAAGAGAAACTAACCTGGCATCAAAGGCTCCCAAGGAAGGCTCGCTGGTTAACCCTCACTCTGCCACCACGAGTCCTCAGGGCTCCACTCCCATGGGGTTTTCCTGGTGCAGAAGTGAATGGGGTATTTACCCCAGGTGGGGGCAAGGCACTACCTTGGAGGCTTCGGGTGCCCACTGCTCAGTTACCACCTCCCCTGCCCCCACTTACAATATCACCAAAGGCAAGCTCCCTTCTCCCCATTTGTTCTTGAACCACCTGCTACGTTCCTCCCTTAAGTCCTTTAAGAGAGTGACATCACTTTCATTTGGGAACCCATTTGTGTGGCAACGTATTGGGCATTTCTGTGTAGTAGGTTCTAGCAGCTCTACCTCACTGACTGAGGGTATGAGGACTTAGAAAAATCAGATGACTTGTCCAAAACCACCCAGCTAAGACAAGGCAGGGTCAAGATGCAAATCTAGGTCTGTCCAAGTGCAGTGTCTCTGCTCCCTGCCTTCTACGGTCTCCACTGACTTCTGGAGCTTCTTCTGCTCTGGAGATGCTACAACCCACCCCACGTCTGCCTCCTTTTCTAAGAGGAAGGCAGCCAGGATAACCGAAATCTGTTACTCCATCAATCTCAGCTACAGACAGAAGCCATCACTGTGAGTGAACCTGGCTGCAAAGGAGCAAGTTCAGAAAGGTAGCAGGGAGGGTGGCATGCGACAGCTAAGCGACCCAGACCCTGGATACAAGACGATCAGCTACCCAGACTCCTACACAGCACTGGGGACTTACACAATTCCTTAAATAGACACATTGTGAGGATCTACCTTTTAAGAGTCATTTTGCAGATACTGAGGATTGAGAAAGGAAAAATGTGAAGGTTCTGATAAACAAGGGTTCTCACCCTGATCAGAACACTTACCACCACTTGCAGAGTCGTGGTGAGAACCTCCACGAACCGGCTTGACGCAGTACCTGGTAAGCAGAAGGTGCTAAATGCGTACGTTCTCCTTCTTTCCTGGGCCTCTTGGAGCTCACAGTCTAATAGGTGACATAAGACTGATACACAAAGAACCATAACACAACGAGAGCAGCGTCAAAGGGGGGCAAAGTACATGGGAGCTTGGCCGAAGGGACAGGGTGACAAAGCTAATGAGGATGACAACAGAGGACGGTGGGGCTGCCGCAGGTGGGCAGAGTCCGGGAGGCGTGGAAAACATCACTAGAGGGAACAGAGAGAGAGAAAAAGTAAGTTGCCCGGGTTTATCGGAACATGTGGTCCACATAGGGAAACCCAGAGAGCTAAGATTGTACAGGAAAGCTAAGGCTCGTTTCAGAGAGCCTTCGGCACCAGGCTAAAGGGAAGGGATTTTATTCTGGAAACGACGAGAAACCATTTTACATTTTTCAGCAAGAAAAGACAAGATGGCTGCTGCACGCAGAAGGGCCTGGAGAAAACAAGGGTGGGCAGTGGGGAGCCTCAGAGAGGACCGCAGCTGGAACCATGGCCCTGGCAGGGGGCATGAGGAGACACAGGGAAGAAGAACAGGGCCATCCCAACGAATCCCCCAAGCTGCCACGGCCCCCCACCCCCACACTCTACTCGTGCGTCCCCTGGGGGGACTGCCAGAGACAGAGACTATTTGGGGAACACAAACCACAGGTCCAACACGTCTGAGATGATCTGTCGGGTCTCTGCCTTCACTCTCCCCTCAAAGAGTCAGCTTTCCCCTGAACTGCTTCAAGCCTCGGGCTGATGGCACGGGAGCCCCCGGCCTTTGGTTAGCAATGCCCATGCTCTGGCCAAGGTGGGGCCCCAGGTGGCAGAACCCCCACCGGGGGCTGCGTCCGAGGGTGGGACTGGGCGGTCCTGCCCAGGGGCCACCTTCACTGCGGCAGCCACCACTGCGCCAGCCACCACTGTGCCCGCCTCTGCCACGCTCTTGCCACCCTCCCTCCTCCCTCAGAGCCCCCGCCCCCCGCCCACTCTGCGGAACTGGCACAGCCGGACCAGAAAAACCAACGCCACCATGTCAGAGACCAGCAGAGCCCTCCAAAATGGCAGCCTCCTGATACAAAGAGTCCAAAAATATCAACACACCCAGAGAAAGAAGCCAGTAACAAGGGGAGTGGACAACCACCTCCCAATTGGGCTCCCCACACCCTTCCGTACTCTCACAATTGTCACGTCTTTCCCTTTGGAAACTTCCTCTCAAAAACCAGAAAGCCTAAGAGGGAAAGAAGGGCATCACCCCTCTTCCCCAGAGGGGTCCTCAGGGCCTTGGTGACGCAGGGCATCAGAAGAACGGCATTCCATACCCCAAGACGGGGGACAGCAGTCCATTTCTGTCGTCCAACATAGCTCCTATCACCAACTCGAGAAAAGCTAGCCGTTCCCCCATTAGACCCTCCCCAGCTCTGCGGGCCCTGGGGAGCCAGGAGGTAGGGTTGCAAGGAAGGGCCTAGAAGGCACAGCCATGCCCTCCGTTATGTAATAAGAAGGGCGGTGCTGACCCAGGCTGAAGACCCAGGGCGCATGCGCTCCCAGATGCGCAGTCAAGGGCGGGGGCTACTGCGCACGTCGCAGCACTCTAAACCCCCCTCCCCACAAACCCGATTCCTGCAACAGGGACAGGATGGGGGGCTGGGACCCTGATTTTTCCAAGACCCCCTCCCCCAACCAGAGGCAAACAGCCTGCTGCCCTAGTTCTGCTCTCTCTCTTCTCACTGCCCAGAATGACAACCCTTTCTAACCTGGGACCTCCAAACCCCAGTAGCTTTCCCGGAAATCCCACCAAATACGCAGTTTCTGAGCAACGTCCTGGGGTCAGTCCCCATCCTCACCTTTCCAAGCACCAGGGAGCAGCAGCTTCCAGAAGGCAGGTCCTTCCCACATTGGGCTCAGCTCTGGACACCGTCAATGCAAATATCTTGTCCCCGGGGAGCAGCCCAGAGCCAGCAGGAAGCCCAGGGTAAGGGGGTGGCAACGGCAGCTGCAGCTCTGCCCTACCTTGCCCGTGCATTTCCAGGGGAGCCAAGAATTATTTTGCCGCAACACCGAGGTGTGGCTGATTGGAAAATTCCCTTTTCTGACACCAAACTAAAGGACAAATATTTTCTTCCAGTTTGGTCAACCCTCTGTGCATCCATCTCCCCGACCCTCCCCCTCCAAAAAAAAGTTTTGATGAACCCTGGGCTCCTCCTTCCCTAAGAGTGCATGAAATAAAAAAGGCAAAGAAGAGGCTTCGACTGGTCAGTCAAAAGCAGGCGGATACCAGAGCATACGCACACCCCTCAAGATTTTAGAAAGCTGCTGGGCTTCTCCCCCCTCCTCTTTAAGCAAGTGAAATGCAAATTTGGATTTGATACCCTGCCCTCAGCCAATCAAAAATAGGTTTTCACCTGCCATTGGCCTGCCCACCAATCAGAGGAAGTGTCTGGAGTGAAAGCCCTCCCCTGGCCAATGGAAGGCCAGCTCAGTCACTTAGTTAATGATGCAGCAGTACAAGGAAGGCCATCACATGTGAACTGGAAGGGTGCCAACATGGAGACACAGAGAGCGCAAGGTAAACAACTTTCCAACGCCAAAAGGATGACATTTAATCTCTAAATGCTAGCTCCCTTTCTCAGCTCATCCTTAACCCCTCTCAGCTGACCCTACAGACACCGGGAGCCTCACTACCTGTCCCCCTAGAGCTCGTAACAAGATGCAACAGTGACTGCGTCACCATTCCCCACTTTTCCCAACTACGCAGTGACAAACCTCCCAGCTTTACCCCAGTTCTCCAAACCCACGCCCCACCTTGCCCACCTGCTCCCCACCAGCCCTGGGCTCCCAGAGCTGAACATCTCAATAATGCAACCCCTGTGAAAGTGTCCCTCTCGCTTTCCTCTCAACACTTCTCTTCTTCCACCTAAGCACTGCACGGATGGACAGACAGACGCTGACACCCAAACAACCTGGAAAACCAGTCTGTCTGTGTGTCCCATAGAGGAAATGGGAGTAAAAGCTGGGAGGTCAGGTGGGACGCCAGGGACAGCTTGCTCCTCTCTCCTCTACCCCGGTCAGGCTTGAGCAGCTGACACTAAGGGAAAAGAAATTTAAAGTGGAAAAAAAAAAAAACCCTCCCTCAGAGAAAAAAATAGCAAGAAGCAAGAGAGAAGGTGAGAAAGACAGAGCACCCACATACGCAGAGACATCGCCCCCGATCCCAGCAAATACGTACGTGGGGGAAGAAAGGGGTTACGCCATCAAGTCCTGAAGCCCATCGGACCACCCATCGTCGCCTGTGCAGACCCAAATCTCGGTCCGGCGGTAAGGTGCCGCAGTCCCGAATGTTCCAGAAATCGGTCCCATTAAACCTTCCACATTGCCCCGCAACCTCTTGCTCCCACCCCTGCCCCCCACCACCAGCCCAACTCCTCCCCGCGGGAACCGCCCGTGCCACCTTGCATGTCATCTCAGCCTAAGCTACCCAGAGGCCTCCAGCCCCCGACAGATTTGTGGACGCCTGGCAAGTGAGCTGGCAGAACCTGGTGCCCGGTGTTGCTATGACTTGTTTCTTGATTTCTCTCTCTCTCTCTGCTGCAGCACGGCTGTTGCTAGCAGACCTATCGACGGAGTGCGCTCTCTCTCCTCTCTCTCTCTCTCTCCCCTCTCTCTCTGAGCTCTGTGACGCAGATCTAAATTCTCCAGTCTGCTCCTTGTGTTGCAAGAGCAGAACTGCAGCTTTTCCCCTGGAGAGCCGGAGGGCAGTGCCAAGGCTGGTCAAACAAGGCAAAAAAAAGTTGGGCCTACACTCCTCTTCCCCGGCCACACTTTTCAACCCATTTTTTTACCCCACACCTCACTGCTCTGGAGCATAGAGGGCCTGGTCCCTGCAGACTCACGCCTTCCCAGAGGGCTTCCCAGCCACAAGACTGGCTTAACTCTTTGAGCGACAGGGCCCAGAACCCAGACAGGGCTCTCCCACACTAAATATTGCGTCATCTTTTCTTGAGCCATATGAGTGTCTCCCAGACATGAGGACAAAATGGTCCTCACCCTGAGACCACCACACTATTAACTCTTTCTGCCACACACAAGTTCAGAATTATAGCCATAGCTGATTTTCATTGTTTTCTGCTTTTTTGGATACAAACCAAGACCTTTTTTCTTCCTGGAATTTCCTAAGTACAAGAAGCGTAATTAAAACATTGTCTGCTTACCCCGTGAGTGAGATCCTTCTATCAGGAATTGGAGAAACCAAACTGAAGTGCAGCCAGGAGAATCTGGAGTAAAAGCAGCATGGATCTCCGTTCTTCCCAGGTTCAGAGACTTTTAGGGCTCAGGTGGATACATCCAACCACTTCTCAAAAGACACTCTCAGGCCACTCACCCCCAGAGATTCAGGTTGCTGAGTCATTTGTTCCCAAGAAGATCCTCTGACAACATGGAAAACAGCAAAACAGAGCGGCAGCCAAGCCTGGACACGGAATGGCTAAAGACTAGGTTCTTCTCCGGGGTGGGCAGCCAAGTGAGATGAACACCTGCCAGCCCACTGCCTAGCCCTGTGCCCCTGCGATGGTAATGCACGGGTAACGCACAGGCATTCACACACCTGGAAACTCTCGCAGGGAGGGGGGGGGTTCCCCAGCAATGCTCTGAAGACTGGCTGGGGTTGTTTTTGATACTGACAGATCTCTACTGCAGCAAAGCACGTAGCTCCCAACACTGGCCTGCCCCCAGACCCAAAATATTTCCAGAACAGCTCAGATACTAAGTCACTAGGCCCTGTATACCCAGAGAGACCCAAGGAGTCTCGGGTTCCCACACCGCTCCAATCTAAGGAATGTAGACCGGCAAAGGTTTCTGATAAAAAAAAAAATTGTACCATACGGGCCTAGAGCTGACTGGAAGTGAGAGATGCATTCAGGTCCTGGAGCAGCTGACTCATTAAGTGCATCACATCAAGAACATCGCAACTTTCAGGAAGATGGCCTGAGAATGAGAGGCTAGGTCGCCACAGTACCATGTACCCTGCTTTCCAAGCAGCCTTCTTTAAGCAGCTCAGGGCCACGGTTTCACCCAGCAGAAAGACCACTTGGAAGACAACCACAGCACTCCACGGCTTTAAAAGAAGCCCAGCGCATCTGTGCCAAGCTCCCAGCGGGGGGTAAAGTGCTTCAAATTCACACCTTGTGGGCTCCAGGGTAGAGCATGCCAATAAAGAAGTCACCTCCTGGTCTGATGACCAAAGGAATGTGGCCTTGATGGCACTAAAGCAAGTCCCCCGGAATGGTCCTCTGTCTACGTAAATCCCATTTGCCACAGTTTCCTTTTCCATGGAAGAAAAACATGCCGAAGTTCATGTCAGGACATTCCTGATTTATCCAAGGGCCCAGGATCAAATAAACAAAGGCTTTGAGCTCTGCCAGGGAGCCTCCTGCTTCAGGAGCGAGAACTAGAGGGAAGTAGGGCTCAGCACAGAGTTGGCCCATTACCCAGTGAACTTGGTAAATGACGTGGCTGCTCACTGCCATGGTGATGGAGATGTCACGGGTGGGTGGAAGTGAGAGAGGAGAGGCAAATAAGTCATGAGATACGGAGCAAGAGCGAACTAGGGTTAGAGGAGGGCCATATACAGCCACAGTGTTTACAGACAGAGGCCACCATGGTCTACAACTGCACACAACTGAGCCCTATGCAAAGTAAGGTCGCTATCTCAGGGGCTCCGCAGGGACCAACCCTGACCTGCAAAGCTACGACAGCGCTACATTTCATTTCAGGTTTGTTTCGTTTCACTTTTCATTGAAGTCTTTTTCTTCCTACGACCCCATTACTTTTCTTACAATTTTATTAGGATTGAAATAGTCATTGTGCTTCTGCCCAATTCTAGGTCTTCCTTCTATTAACCTGATTCTGCGTGGCACGTAGAACAGAAAAACCTGAACGGGATGACCAGGAAGCAGAAATGAATTCAGTTCCAAAAACATGGGAGGATGTTTACTTAGCAAGCATGCTCAAGCCTACAAGGAAGCAGTTTTACGGGATGCTGTATGCGGTGTTTGATTTCAGGGGGTAAAGATAACTTCTGGGTGAGGAGAGGGTGCTGGCTCCTTCTCCCTGCCCTGTGTGACCTGTGGAGGGTGGAGGCTGGGCCGGGGCAAACTTGAAAAGGCACAGCTTCCACTCAAGCCCAGCAGGTCACTGGCTTCTCTTCGGCTTCTCTGCAGCTACAGGCCTCGGGAATGAAATGCACTCTCTAGACATCGCAAGCTCTCCGTGGCCTCTGACTGATCTGGGTCAAAATGTTGAAATGCCGAAGATGAAGAATTTTTTCTTTAAAGGGAATGAGCTGAACTTTTACCCAGCCCCTGTCCTGGGTTTGAAACGCAAGCACTCTGTAATTGCCACAAACTCCAGTCCAGGAGAGCAGGTTCAGCACAGTTCCTCATTTCGTCATCAAGGCCCCACTCCACGGAGACTGGCTCTGTAATCAGGAAAGAAACCGTTTCTCTTGAGACAGGAGAGCCGTGCAGGAGACTGACCCCAAACTCCACACAAGTGCCCAGGATGAGAGTGGGTGCTCTACATTAATTAGGCGGTGATCTGGTCTCAGGCAGAACTGTCTACCCCCCAGGCGGGGGCCGACTCAGTGATGCCATAAGCAAATGATTTATTAAGTACCTACAAGGTGCTAAGCCCACATTCAGCAGAGGGGAAGCACAAGATACAGGCCATCACCTCAAGACATACACCTTCTAGGTGAGGACCCTTTAAGCATTCCCGAATTAGCATTTTTTGATATTTCAAAAATCTGCTCTTAAAAGTTGGAAATTCATTTTCCCATTGAAATATTATTAAACATATGCTGCTTGGGTTCCCAGGCTAGCCCACAAAAGCCTATTTTACCTGCTTCAGGAAGTGACAAACTCACATGCCTTTGGGGCAACGCAGGTGCTAAAGGAAGGAATGGGCTGCAGAGGGCAGGTGCCAAGTGGATGGAGCACAGCAACCCCACAGCAGCCCAGCCCGGCAGCCCCACTGCTCAGGGACATCTGCAAATGGACACCTCAAGAGCCCAGATTGTTCAGCTTCTCAGGAGAAGGCTGACATCCAGATTTATGATATTAAACTCTCCATTTTTAAACATTGTCAAAAAAAATTTTAAGTTGAAACATACCTGCAGAGCTTCCAGTTTGTTTTCTCTGCGGTAATGTATCCCAAATACCGCTACGTTTGCAAGGACAAAATGAAAGCAAGCACGGCAAGAATGAGGGTTTAAATAAACTAAAGAAACAAAGAGGAGCAGAAAAGAGAGCTTTACGTCACAGATGCGGCTTTTGGAGGAAAAGAACAGCCTAGAGGAAAATTCAAGGAAATCTCAACCTGCAGGTCAAGGGTCGTCAACCGGCCTTAGGTTGAGGGTTTCGGGTGGAGGGGTTCATCAGAATTATTTTTTAAATATATGTGATACCATTAAAGTGCTAGTATTTGTGCCCTACCCAGAACCTACCAGAAGGGCAAGAGTCCTTCCGATATACTGGCCTTTTCTCCCAGCTTAGTTGCTGCTCTGAACATCCTCAGAGGGTCTGCTCAGGGCTTTGTTAAAATTGGAAGGGATTATGATAATCCATCTGCCCATTCCGGGTGTAAGGGCTTCCTTAAACACCACCAGAACCAAGGCAATCTCTAGCCTCTACCTGAGTCACTACTTCCACCCCACCTTTGGAGGACTCAGACAGCAGGAACGTGATTGAGATGAACTCTCTCTCGTGAAGCAATGATCTACTAGCCTTCAGGTCTTCACTCTGCCTCAGACACCCAAAGAACAAGCCTACTTCCCCAAGACTTTCGGATATTTTAGGGTAACTTTTACAACCACAAGATTTTAGGCTAAACGAGGAGGTACAAAAAGAGAAATGAGAAAGGAGGTGGGGGAGAAAATGGGGGCGGAGACCAGAGAGAAAGAGTCTTAAAATAGCTGATCAAAAGTTTAACAAGCCAAAGGAAAAGAGGAAGAGACATATGTATTATATATTCACGAGAAAGGAGGCCCTTGTGGCAGAATAAACAGCTGAGTGAAGTAGGACACGCAGGACATGCTAAAGGAAGGCCCACAGTCCCCCCACAAAAGAAAATGTTGACAAGGGCCACGGGATCAGACAGTTCCCAAGGCCAGCCACCAGGCTGTGCCAATGATCTAGGACAAACTGGTTAAAACCTGCAACTGGGAGAAAAAAAACTATACAACCTACAATGTTTATGTACGGGATTTTCTTTTGCTCATTTTGGGCGAAGGGGTTCTTTTCTTTGGGATTTGCTGGATTCTTTGTATATTCTGGATACAAATCCACTTGCCAGTTGTAGGTACTGTGTGTATCTTCTCCACTCTTTTTCTCTTTTATTGATGCTTTTCAATGATCAGAAGTTCCTCGTTTTAATGACATCCACGTTCTCATTCTTTCCTTTCATAGTCATGGCTGTTGGGATCATCTTTAGGAAATGTACGGCTACCCCAAGGTTATGAAGATATTCTATGTTATCTCATGGATGGAGTTTTAAATTTTGTCTTAACTCGCACATTTAGATTGATGATCTCTCTGGAATTTCTGTATATGACATGAGGTAGTGGTCAAGAGGTCATTTCTTTCCTTGTGGATATCCAAGTATCCCAGCACTGTTTATTAAAATGACTGTCCGTTCTCTACTGCTGAGCAGTGTCCCCTCCATCATCAATCAGGTGGCCAGATATGTATGAGTCTGTTTCTGGGCTCTCTGTTCCATTCCTTGGGTCTATGATTGTACTAGGGGGGCACTAATCTTAAATCAGGTGATTTTAACATGAAGATGTGTCTATTAGTAAAGTTTAAGAAACTATAAATCAAAGAGCCAATTTTGCCAAGTGAGTTCAATGTGGACAGGCATAGTTCAGAAGACAGCCCCAGCCAGGGCCTCTCAGAAAGAATAGGATGTACAGGAATAGACAGAGAAAAAGCCCCCCAAGCTAAGGAATGGTGTAGCAAGAAATAAGAGGTAAAAACAAATCTTGTTTCTGTGTAGACAGGAACACAGTGATCAAGAAAGCAGACTCATGCTGTGTAAGAGTGAACATGCACCCAGATCCTGACTGTATACTAGTTAGCTGTGTGACCTTGAGCAAGTTAAGTCAGCTGTTCTGAGCCTCACTTTCCTAATCTGCAACGTGAGGAAAACCTTCCTCACTGAGCTGTGCAAATTAAGTGGGTTAACTGATGTACACCACTTAGTACAGAGCCTCATCATGGTTAGGGATAGAATAGAGACCAGCCAGACTGTTGGAATAATCATGCATTCAACCAACATTTAATGAGCATATACTGCTAAACAAAGATAATATATATTGTGGTTAAAAACTCAGACTCTAAAATGAGACAGGCCTGAATCTAAATTCTAGTATAGCCTCTAGTAGTTATACAGACTTGAAACAACTTAAGTTTAATGCGTCTAAGTTTCTACTTTCAGCTTCATCCCTACTTCCTAGGGGCTTTCTTGGTGAGGATGTAATGTAATTCTGGCAAGAATATATCAAAAAAAAAAAGAATATATAAATATACCTCTGCTGAACTATTTCTACATGTAAAACATTCAACCAGATGCTTTCACATAAACTACATCCACTAAGTGGCTCCATTTCCCTTACCTGAGGCTCGACCCTGTTCTCTAGTCCCTGAGCCTATCTACTCCTTTCCTGAGTGCTTTCTGGGTGGATCCCGTCCGCTTAGCACAATGCCCGGCACAAATTAAATGTTCAACTGATGCCAGGTATCACTATGATGAGGACCATGATGACGGGCATGATGCTTCTATGCTTGGCACCATACCAGGTACTGGAAGAAAAGGTCTACTAATACCTCAAAAGATCTATGGTACCTGGCATTCACCATCTTCCATCCAAGTACCAACCAGGCAGAACTGGCCTAGCTTCATATTAACAAGACTAAGTAGACAAGATCGAGTGTATTCGGGTAGTAGGCCCACGACAGGCTTGGAGAAAAAAGGTTACGGGGGGCCAAGTAAAGCCCAAATGGCTGGTACAGTTAAATACTTTTTAAAGACACTTCTCATCTTAGGGAGCTTTAAGAAGAAACAAAAACACAGAATCTACAAAGATACATAAATCAGAGAAAGTCTGAAAATGTGCTGGGTCAGGGGCATGTGTGTCAGAAATGGTACTCATAGAAGTCCTGAAGGAACAGCGCCATCAGTAGCTTCAATCAACAAAAATGACGTGGGCAGCCTTACAAGCCTTCAAGACCACATCTTCTCAGTCTCCTGGAACAACCACCCCAGAGCCACTGAGGAGTTTCTCCCACTGAATTCCCACCTCAAGGGACCACGGCGCTTCCGCCCAGGCTGCTGAGCTGAAGCGAAACAAGTCCCAGCAGTGACAGTAAGGACTCCAAGGACACAATGCGGCGCCATGTGCCAAGTGAAAATCCGAGACAAGGGCTGGGGACAGCCTGTGCTGGAGGGGAGGTGCTGGCAGAGGTGAGACACAGATGCAGGCGCAGGCAGGGAGCCGCTCAGTGGCCTGGCAGACACTGGCCCTGAGAGCACGGGACTCCCAGGACGGCAGGGTGGAGGAGGAGAGCCAAGCTCGCAGCACCCATGGGCGTGAACCCCAGCACCAAGGAGACTCCCACGTGGGGCACAACAAGGGCAGTAGAGTGACGCCGTTGTGTCTGTCTGGGAAGGGTCACAGATCCTGTGACTAGTGTGCCCAGTCACTGACTCCGTCTGCCTCACAGGCCAAAAATCCAGGCTCTGGTGTGCCCTGACGAGCTGGCTCCCAACATCTCCTGGGACAGTGAAAAAGGCCAAAACATCTATCTTGTCCTAGGCTGCTGGTCATTAAATCTAAGCTTTTGCCCCAGAAGGCTCAGCCTCATACAAAACCCAGGCTGGCAACTGGACTGGCACGTGCTGTGCTGACGATGGGTCGGGCTAAGTGAACACGGTCAAACACTGTCACTCCACCAGCCAAAGCCAGAGGATGGAAATAATTTCCAGAGAGCTGGAGTGCGGCGGAGCCATGTGAGTCGCACTGAGAGTTCTACCCCATTCCTGCATGGCCCTCCATAGGCCAGACGTGGCAGGGGGTGAATGAGGGGTCCTGGCCAGATGCCCTCCTGGCATAAGCTGGGGCCCTCAGATGTCACTCGGCTCTTGAGGTTCTTTGTCTTCATCATGGAGGGAGGCTCTGGACAGGCAGAGGTGTCTCTGGGGTATACACAACTTGGGCAACCGATGACTCATGGGGCTGTACTGACCTCTGCGTGACTACAGGAGCTTAGCGCCATGTCACTCAAAAATGGAGTTTCTTTCCTGCCCGGAACAAACTACTGCGTAGCTGAGTCAGATCTAGACAGCAGGAGTCACAAACAGGAGGAGTAGGACAGGGGGTTCCCCAATTTAGGCTTGAGCTTTAATTTACATACTGCCTCTCTCCGTCGTCACAGGGGCACGCCCAGGCGCATACCCACAGCCCAAGAAGGAAGAGGAAAGCCAGCGGGCCGTCCAGCACGCCAGGGCACAAGTCTGGGCTTTCTGCAAAAATGCCAGCATCGTCAGGAGCTAGACCAGGGACACAACGTCCAAGTCCAATGCCCTCATCTGATGGGTGTGCAAAGGGCAGGGAGCAGTGTAAAACATAATATGTAATGTCATATTTTTGGGGCAGTACTTGGGATGCATGTTCTTATTGTTTTCATGGTACGAAACCTTACCGAAAGTAATTGAATGTATCATCTTCATACAGAGAGTTCGAGTCAGGAGGGTGGGTTGACCACAATACTTGGGGGTGAGAGGCAGTCCTGTGATTGATTTACAGAGGGTAAAGCACTATGGTCCCAGTGAAGGGACTCACTACCTCACAGGGTCACTCATCTTCCCCCGCCTCACGTCCTTCACAGCTCCAGCGGTGGGAAAGTAATTCAGCTCCACACATCAATACTGACCTCCCTGTCTGCTACCCACTCGCCCCAAGGCTGCTCTCTGGAGTGCCACAGAGTACGCCTGACACCCACCTCTGTGACAGTCCTTTAAATATACCAAACTGCGCCCAGCAAACCCCCTCCACAAAACCTTTCACTCTCTGAGGAAAATATTCCTGTTTTTAACCATTCTGCACATGCCAACAGCCCTCCTTTGTTCTTGTTCTAATTTAACACTTTCCCTCCTAACTGGGATCAAAAACTGGAACCACCCTCCCCAAATGGCCAAGGGACAGCAGACACTGACTTCCAGCAGAACCTTCTTCGTCTGTGGGTGCTGCTGCCCCACTTCTCATTCCCACCCTAATGCCATACACCTGGTTTAAAACTTTGGTATATCTTATTCTGGACTCTTTCAGTTGTGATTTTAACAACATATATATAAAAAAAGAATATATCAATATACCTCTGCTGAACTATTTCTACATGTAAAACATTCAACCAGATGCTTTCACATAAACTACATCCACTAAGTGGCTCCATTTCCCTTACCTGAGGCCTGACCCTGTTCTCTAGTCCCCAAGCCTATCTACTCCTTTCCTGAGTGCTTTCTGGGTGGATCCCATCTGCTTAGCCAAGCTCCTCAAGGGCAAGATGCTCTGACAGTGTCAATGCTGCACTAGAATCTGAGGCTTTGGTCTCTACTAAATGAGGCAATTTATCTACCTTTATTCTCCAACCTGTCCCAGGCAGGATAGATGGCAACCCTACAGGCCACGTGTTGCCACAAGACTGTTACCAACAACACATGTAACCCTGTGTCATAATTCAGAGGCTCATAATATGCTGCCACGTCTCATCATGTGTGTGCATCTGGTGCCTCCAACTGGGGTCTGAACTTTTCAAAGAAAAGGCCAGGCAAGCAAGCTTTAGAATTCTCTCTCATTCTTCCCAAAGCTGAACCCCCAGCAGCCGTCAATCAATACTGTGCTTTGGCTACTCAGGCTAGATTAGGCCTCCCTGTCAACAGGAGCACCCCAAGTCCCCGATCAACACCAGAAACGGGCTCGGTTGGTCCAAGGCCTGTGTGCACAGTTCTCTGAGGTTTCTACTACTCCCTCCTTCCTTTGATCTAGACTTGTCGAACATGAATTCACTCATTTTACACCAGTTTCTGGAAAGAGCTCCCAAGCAAATATTAAAGGGACACCCGACCTGTGCTCTCACAAACACCAGCGATGGCCTCATCCCCTGGCTGCAGGACACTGGACTGACCATGGTGCAGCCTCAGCTCCGCCTTGGGGATCTGTCATGTGGTTCTCTTTTCTCCGTGACACCATGTAAGGCTGAGAATGGAGGAGAAATCAGCTGTCTTCATCTCAGAGGTGGAAAGACCACCGTCAAACCCACCCTCATCCAGAGAATCCAAGACCAGACACTCTAACAGCTCCCCACAGCTACTAGCTAGGTTTTAGCTAAGGAAAGGGGAGACCGCCATCCTCACCTGATACAGTAGCCTATGAAGAGAAACGAGTGCCAACAGGAGGTAGGTGGAAAGATGGAGCCTCCCCCGCCTTCAGGTGCCACCTGGGATGGACTGAAATTCTTGCTGTTATCGTGAACATGCAGCAACCAAGGAAAAACGGGGGCAAAGGCCTCTACCTTGTGTTTCCGGTTCTAGGTATGTCACAGACGCTGCTGGGTCCCCGGAGACAGGAAAAGTAGTGACTACACACAGCACACTTACAGTCCTTGGGAGGCTGGCCGAGCCACCGGCTCTAGTTAATTACTGAGCTCTTATCAAGTACCTCTGATTCTTCTAAATACTTTCAACACCTAAGACAACATCAGGCGCACAGTGTGTGTTCACGCTGCTACTAAATCCAGGACAGGAGGAGAAAGAGAATCAAAATTAAATATAAGATATGGTTCATAAGCAAAGGACTTCCTAAAATAGCTTACAGAGCTAACATGATTTGGGAACAGTTATAAAACAGCCTGACTGCAAGGAAGCTTCTCGTGGACCGGGACTGCGTCTCACAGCCCTTTATGCCCCCACAGGTGGCATGTACACGTCTAGTCATCATCTGCCAGCTGAGCGGGCAAACAAACGCGGGAATGGAAACGCAGTACGAAACATCTTTGGGGCTTATTTCTAAATATCCGAACTATCAATGTTTACCTTTCATTTTCAGAACCATAAAATGCCCAGATACTACTGAACTGACCACTTTTTACCATGAGGCTATACTCAGAATTACTATCACCTTTGTACTAGAAATAATGTGCCCCAGCAAGTCGTTTCCAACATTTAACCTGTTTCCCACCCTGGGCTCCCGTCTCTCTCTTTTTCTCTCTCATGCACAGAACAAGTTGCAATGTTAAAACATGGCAGGAACTCTTTGTCAGTAAACTTTGCTCCTTGGCCGAGATGATAAAGCCAAGTTATGCTGTGGAATGCACCCCTCATCTTGTTCATTTGTAACCTGCTCAGACCCAAGCTAGAATCCAGCCAGTTGACCTCCCAGACATGGCCACCTCCCTGGGGCCTTTAGGAGGGTAGCAGGCAGAGGCGACCTCCCTCTCCCACAGCCCTGACCCCCACTGACTGCCAGATGAGGAACAGCAGTAGGGCTTCCGTTTGGCTTAGAGCCCTTAACAGAGGCCTGGCTTCCTACCAAGGTTGTCCTCCGTCCCACCAAACATGAATGCTCCCTATGTTCCCCTTCTGAGAGTGCCTTCAAATAAGGCCAAGCCCCTGTCTTTTACGTGTCCAAACAGCATCCTTCTGATCAGGAACATGGACCACAACATCCATTAAGCACTTGTCAGATGTCATGTCTGGTGTGCAGCCCTCGGTATGCATCACAACCCCACTCAAGTCTTCACAATGGCTCTAGGAAGCCAGGACTGGTATTCCCTCCATTTTACAGGTTAGGAACTAAGGAGCTTGTTCAACGGTGAACAGCCAGTAACTCGACTCACAAGCCCAGTCTCAATCACTGTGCTGGACATGCTAGCGACATCCCTTTCTCTTTAGGGGACTTCCTCCGAATTCCTGTCCTTTGTTGATGAGCTACTTCCTATTTTCACACTTGACGACCCCTGGTAGCAAGGCGGGGCTAACCATGCTTCCTTATTAAAAAAAAAAAAAAAAAAGGTGCTCAACATATCTTTTTGGTAAATAAATATTTTAAAAATGAGTAGTACATTAACTCACTTAAATGAGGCGTAATGCATGCAACACTCCTTTCAGTTCACAAAGTAGTTTTATGACAAACCATCCCATTTCACCCCCCTCGAAGCCCTGTGAAGTATATACACAATGACCCCCATCTGCAGACGAGCCAGGTGAGCAGCAAGGCGAGGGGAGTCGGCCAAGACGGCCCAGCCAGCCGGTGGCGGAGCGATTCACGGACCCGGGCGCCAAATCCCCGTGCTCAGGGGCTTGAGAGGTGGAGCGTCAGGAGCCACAGCGGGGGCTCGGGAGGCAGGAGGACACATATTTACTGGCTATGTAACCCAGGGCAAGTTAATGAATCTCATCTCAGTTTCTTCATCCATAAAACAGTGCTAATAACAACTGTGACGCACCGTTACCGTGAGGATTAAATGAGATACCGTAGGCAAAGCACTTCGCGCACTGGCCAGCACCGAGTACATGCTCGTTGAATGACAGGTGCTCTCATTACACTCCTGCCCGGGCAGGGGGGCTAGTGTCTCCTGAACTCCCTGTGCCCCGACCAGCGGTCACCACAGGCAAAGCTCCACACGCAGCTGGGGCTTCACAGGTGGGCCGAGCGCACTGTCCCCGGACCCAGCCCCTCGAGGAACTGTGGCCAAGCCTCCCAGGACCCCTGGAAGTAGGCCGTGCATGCCTATTTGCTCTTCTCACCAAGGACGGGCCTGTCCCCAAGACCCAGGAGCAGAGCCCTGGAGGTCCAGGGCCACAGGCAGGGCTGGACGGCCACGCAGGTTCACACAGGCCATGACCCGCGCTCACCGCCGGGAAAGCCGGGGCCGGGCGCCCCCAGGACCTCGGTCCCCACCGGCGGGGGCCAAGGAGCCGAGCAGCCGCGCACAGGCACTGGCCACCCACAAAATGGCCTCCACGGATGACCTCACCCCTCCCTCCCCTGGGCCGTGGGGGCTCTGCTCCCGGGGCTTGGGAACAGGCCCGTCCTTGGTGAGAAGAGCAAATAAAAGCGCATGGCCTACTTCCAGCAACCTCATTGTTTCTCACTTGGAGATTAAAATAATAAATACACAGGCACACGGAGGCTGGCGAGCGCGGGGGGAATTCGGTGGCATCAGAGCTGCGGCCCAAGGCCCCATGCAGCAAGGGGCTGCCTGCAGGAGGCGTGTCAGGGTGAGCAGGACCCCATGGACAAGCAGCTGGGGACGGTCAGGGCTGGGCTGGGGGTCCCAAGGGCCAGTCCGGCTCCCCCAGAGCTGAGAAGGGAGGGGGAGAGGCGGAGGGCTCCCTGCCTACTGCCCACACTGCTTGTGACTCCCGCAGGGCAGCCCCACTGCCTCCCAACCGCTTGCCCTGCTAGCTCCAGGCTCTCCCTTTTCCAGCCCAGTCTGGATTCCACTACCAGTATCTTCCCCGAAGTCCTGTACCATCACATCCCTCTCCTGCTCTGAAGCCTTTCATGGCTCCCCAGTGCCCAGCCTAGGCATTCTCCTAGCCTTCAAGGGCCCCTAGCATCTGGTCTCAACCCACCCCTCCAACCCGTTTTCCCATTTTCCCACACTGCACCCTCTGATCCTGCCTAACTGCTCCTTCAGTAAACCTCCCTCCTACACATCTCCACATATACTGCGTTTTCTCCTCATCTCAGCCCAAATCTGAAGGCCACTCACTGTTCTCTGAACACATACTTGCTGAATGTCCACCATGTACCAGGCACAGGGTGAGGCAGCATGGTCAGGGGGTCAAACAATCCCACCAACACTGCACACATGTAGCAAGTAACCTAAGATTGATTGACACAGAGCATTTACATGAGCCAGACAGTATTTTAAATACAGGCTCATTTAATCCTTCCAGTAACCCTATGAGGTAAGCGCAGTTACTACCAGTCCCATTTTATAGATGAGGGAAATGAAGCACAGCAAAAATAAGTAAAACTTACTCAGACACCATGAGACAAACTTCCCTGGACACTGGGCTTCCTCAGTAGGGGGGTTCCTGTGGGCTCTGGGGCACAGCAGGGCAGCTGGAGGTGACCAGTCATGATAGAGCCGAAGGCAAGGATGGCCCCGGTCAGAGCACCCTCACTTCTCTCAACAGATACCCCAGAAGTGAGTACTTCCCATACAGAAAAGAGATGATTGGAGGGGAAGGTAACCACCACCCAGGGCCGTCCTGCCTCATTCTAAGAAAGCAGGAAGCAGGAAGGGGTATGAGTAGTAGCCGCTGCCATAGTGTGAGGTCAGGACGGGGAATCCAAATTCACTCAGCACCTACATTTACCCCAGGCCCCTCAGTGGGACAGCTTAACCCCAGATCTGTTGGGGGCTCAGTGACTTCAGTGTCTGGCCTCTGGCAACAGCCAGGGAGGGGGGTTCTGGAGTGTGGCAAATGGCATCTTCTTTCTGTGTCTGCATGGCCGGGAGCCTCTGCGTGGCCAGAAGATTCCGTGTGCCCCTGCTGCCTCTGTGCGTGTGACAGGGAAGCCCTCCCTCCACAGGGGAGGGCAGCAGGGGGAAGCTGGTATGAGGCACAGGCAGGCGTGGAGCTCTGGGGCTGCAGCCCTCAGCCTGGGGCATGGCCACCTGGTACCAACCCTCCTGCCTGCTGGGGCTGTGTATGGGGTGGAAGAGGGTCAGGCATAGCAATATGGTGGGGGGTGGGGAAAGAGACCAACCCAAGTGTCCTTTCCTCCTCCTCCTGTTCTCTCTCAGTAGAAATCCCAGCCAGGGAGTCCCTGTGCCCCACACAGGCCCGGGCAGCCTGTGTTCTACTGCAGCCCCACGCAGGTTGCAGTTCTAGCTCTGGCCAAACAGAAGGGACTCTTTCTTCCTCCCCTTCTCCCAGCAACTCTCAGGGGCTCTTCCTGACCCTGGAAGGAATGAGAGCTCCATGGGGACAGCTTTGTAAATTTCTGAATCCCCAAGGCCTACGATAGTTCTTGGAATACAGCAGGCACTCAATACACACTTGGAGAAAACCCACATTATCACGTCCACCTTACAGGTAAGAAAAATACATTTCCCAAGGTTATACAGCTAGTGTGTAACAGAGCAATGATTCCCATCTAGGACTTCCCAGGCACAAAACACACCATATCATGTAATCACTAGCATTTTCTGAGCACCTGACGCAGGCAAGATGCTCCACAGGATACACAGGATGGTCCCCCAAATCTAAGCTTGATTGGAGGCCAATTATGTGCCAGGTGCTGAGGAGCAAAAAGACATGGCCTTTCTTTAAAGACTGTGTGTGTAAAAACATATGCATACATACGCATATGTATGTACAAGCATACACACACACACACAATGTAAATGCTTATGCAAACACATGCTCCCTGTATACATAAATTTGTAAATACCATGTGTGTACAAAATTAAATGCATAATTCTTTTAAGCCATCACTAGGCAGTATGGGGGAGCCCAATGATTAAAATAGCTAAGAAATGCACCAGGAACATGGAGGGGTCAGGATTCACTGTACACGAAGTCTTCATGAAGGAAGCAGAAGCTGAGGGAGGCTCAGAAGAATCCAAAATTTCCAATAAAAAATGGAAGGAGCAAAGATGGCCCGAGGGGTAGGAATGATGTGCAGAAAAGCATGGAAGTCGAACCGTGCAGGCTCAGGGAACAATTTGTAGAGAGGTCTGACTGACCTAAGGTTTTTTATTCCCTTATTTATTTTTTTTAAACAACACCTCTGCTTTTAACTGTTTTATATTCTGCACTTATCAATAATGTTTTATTTGAAATAAATTTCTATGGTGTGGTAAAAAAAAATTTATTTGGAAAACCACTGCTCCAATTCCATGTTATCCTACAGGTGGGAAGCTGGACTTGCCTATGGCCCCAGAGCTAGACTGTGGCAGGACTGGGGATGGGCCCCAGGTTTCTGGGCTGCCCATGAGGCAGGTGTCCAGGACACTGTCAGGTCTCATGTGGTGGAATGAGGGGAGCAGGGAAGGTGGATGACTAGAGACTGAGCATCAAGTGGGCTGGGCCTCGGCACTCTGATCTGTAAAGCAAGGGGTGCCAGGTCCCTGTCGGCAATGTGGGCCTAGACTGGGACATTATCTGGGATATTCAGGTCTCAGCAGCAGAGGCCTCCTCTCCTGCTGGAGAAGCTAGAGCTTTTTCTACTGGAAATCATACTTGTTGGTCTTTTTCCTGCTTGGCTTGTTTTGGCACGAGGAAGAGGCTAATCGTGGCAGAGCTGCCTAACGCACAGGGCAGCAGTCCCCTTCCTCAAGCAGGGGGGCAGCCGACTCCAGAAAGGGAGGAACAGGATCTAGGAGTCTGACTGGTGAGCAGCTGACCTCTCTCTTCTGGTCTCTGGCGGCTCCTACACACCCCACTGGAGCTGCCTTCCCCGAACAGCACTGGCTCTGGACGCGGACAGGTCCCATTTCCACCTCCACCTGTTACTTAGCTGAATGATCTCAAGAAGCATCTATATGGCTCTGTGACTCAGTTTCCTCATCTGTCAAACAATTATCCCACAGCATTACTGTAAGACTTAAATGAGTTAATACATAGAAAACAATACAGTAAACAGTTACTATTTTAGAGTTTGTACATAAGGTTCCCTGAAATGTGATCTCTTAGGTGCCAGGCCACACTAGGCAGGATGCTCAGCTCTCGTGCTGTGGGCTGGCATAAACAGTGATGCCAGGGATGACACAGGCACAAGCTTGTACAGACCCAAAGCCTCCTTTGGGGTCCTGGCTTCCCTTTCAGCATCTGAGAGAGAGCTGGAGGTGGGAAGGGTGATACTCCAGGCTTCCCAGCTCTGCTCTCACTCGGCAGGCAAGCACGCAGGCCTCTCCTGCCTCCTGCACTCTGCCTGGATCCTGCCCGGGGAGGCATCATCTGGTTCCCAGGACTGGGGAGCCATGTTCCACATGCTTGGATCCTCCATTTACACCCTGTGGGAATGCTCTAGGCATACTCCTCGAGATAAAACGCTTCCAGGCAGCCTGGATTTGGGGGTGTTATCTGGATATTATCTTTAAAAGCCATTTCTGCATATTATCTTGAGATCTGGAGCCGACTTGTGGGTGTACCCAAGATTTACCAAGTTGCTTTTCTCAGAAGGGTGCACGTATGAGAGCATACGGAGTTTTGCCTGCCTCAGGGCAGAACGTCAGCAGCTGGGCATTCGTACAGAAGCTACCAAGAGTAAGATGGTGGCAGACATGGCATCCGCTTTCTGTCCTCAGCCCAGTGGAGCTCCGGGTTCTGCAGAAAGGGAAGTCTTCAGGACTCCGGTAAGTTTAGGAACAGCCCAGGCTCAACTCTTAGCTTTTAGATTGCAGCCTCTTGTCTTTATATTCCAGCATCTAGGGCCAGGCATGGTTCTGCACTGGAGCTCAGTGAATACCCTTTGCATTGAATGGGGACTCTGATTCTCTACCACAATGACTCAGAAATAACTACCCTTCTATTTGAGCCAGGTGTGTCTTTCACATGCAGCCAAGTCTCTACAACTACCAGTATCCTCGATAGAATATTCTACTGCACTTACAGGGTGACGGGGTTGTCCTGGGGATTTTCTGGTGTCAGTCATTATGACTGCTGAATTAAGTTAGATGTAGCATTTAGATAACAGATTACTCAAGCTTCCCATGTACCATCTCTGAATTCATTTTAAAAGGGAGGAAAGAGCAGAAGTGCCAAGCACATTTCCCACCTTCCCCCGCATATCCTCTGCCTCACTGATCTGGTCCCCCTGTTGTCCCTATGCATGCATTCCCACTCTTTCCACCAAGCTCTTCTTCTCATTGCTTCCTCTACTTGAGGTACCCCTCTCTCTCCTCTTTACAGCTCAGAGCCCAGCCATATTGCAAGGTCTCACTCACGTTCAAGACTTCCACGAAGCCTTAGAGTGATTTGTGCTGCCTGGATCTGTCTCTGCTGGTGTTTCACCTTCACCTCACCTGGTACCCAGCATTCCACAGTTCAGGCTGTTTCAGGACTGTTTCCCCTCATCTCCTGTATGGCCTGTATCTCCACCACCCCTCTATAGAAATTCCTTTCTGAGGTTTTGGATCCATTACTATTTGCCAGTTCCAGTGCTCCTTCCTCAGACCTCATCCTTCTGGACTCAGATGTTGCTCAGCACCCCCTTCTTAAAACCTCTGTCTCATTTTTAAGTACATGGCACTACCCCCAGACCACCTTCCCTGCATCCGTCATGACTCTGCTCCCACCTGTGTGGAGCCCAGGCCTCTGCTTGTATCACTTGGCCCATGCCCTGGAGGGCCTTCACACCACTGGCTGCATCCCTCCCCTCTCCGGTAGTCCTGAGACACGTCAGAACACCCACTGGACATTCTACTTGGGTATCCCCGACACCTCATGTTCAACATAACTAAAATGCATTCAACGATTATTTGTTGAGCACCTAAAAAGCCAGGATCTGTCCTAGTCATTGGTCAGCAGACCACATAAAAGGTCTTGCCTCAAGTGTCCACTAATGGATGCATGGATAAAGAAAACGGGGTTTTCCATGTCATGGGACATCATTCAGCCTTTAAAAGGAAGGAAATTTTGGCCCCTGCAACTACATGGATGGCCCTGGAGACATTATGTTAAGTAAAACAAGACAGTCACAGAAAAGGCAAATACTGTGTGATTCCACTTCGATGAGGGTCCTACAGTAGTCAAATTCAGGGTCAGGAAGTAGAGTCGTGGTGGCCAGGGGCTAGAGGAAGGCGAATGGGGAGTTATTCAATGGGCACAGAGATTCAAGTTTGCAAGATGAAACGCATTCTGAAGGTGGATGGTGGTGATGGCTGCACAACAATGGGAGTTAGTGAAAGCTAAAAGCCTCTGAGCTGTGTGTACAGTTAAACATGGTCAAGATGATAAATTCCCTGTTATGCATATTTGCCACAATTAAGAATGTCCTCGCTCTCTTTGTGGTTTTCTGCCTATCATGCTTCAATAAAAATGAAAAAGACACTGTCCGCCTGGACCTAACGTTCTAGAGTCAAGACTGCACGTTCATCCATGCAGCGTCCCTCCCGACGTCCCGCCTCTGTGCTGCCGGTCCCCACGAGGCGCCCTGGTCACCTGGCTCCTCCTCCTCGCCCACGCCCAGGTACTCTCCGTCACTGTTCCTTAAGCCTTCACCCTAGTCCTTCCTTCCTCCCCATATCACAATTGCCACCACCTCTTACGTTTGACAGAAAACAGGAGGCGGTAGAAGCAGCTCTGCAGGGCCTGGTTCCTGTGCAGGCTCTACCCTGGCTCTGAAGAAAATCAATGCTTCGGCTTTCATTTCCCTGTCCCTTAAAGGATGAGTTTGACAAGACATTCGCGAAGGGTCCTCTGGCTCATGTACAGGGTACGAGTCTCTGGTTCACCCCATCCAGCCCGGCCTGAGGTCTGCTGTATTCCTCACAGGCACTCAGCAGCCTGAGAAGAAAGGCCTCATTCAGGAGGGGAACCCGGCCGGCTGGGAGATGGCTCCCTCCACGCGCTCCCTGGCTCCCTTCCCTGCCAGCCTGAACTTTTACTGCCTGCAACCTTGTGACTCTGGATTACCTGACCTTGGATCCTGCCAGCCCTGCACTGCACAGGGACCTCTTCTGACCTGCCGCCTGTAACTGGGGCAGCTCGCCTGCTGACGCTGGACCCCGTTCTCTTTCCACCGACCAGGCTGCCCTGTGGTTGTACAACCGGGATGCTGCTAGCTGGGCTCCGGATCCCTCCTGGGCCGTCACCATGACCCCTATGGGTGCGCCTGCCTGGTCCCTGGTCCCTGAAGTGTCCTCTGAGTTCACCCCTGCTGCTAAGCAGGATTTAGTCTGTTTGTGATTGAGTCGTTCACTCCACAAACGTCCACTATGATGTCTACTCCATGACACGCGCAGCTCTGAGGCAAGGGATATTTCAGGATGGAATAGAAACACTTCTCATCAACACATCCCATTTGCCAGGACAAACTTCCCTACTCAACCAAGACGTCATCCAGCTCACCACTGTCAAATTCTTTCACTCATTTATTGGGCATTTATTATGTGCCAGGCACTCTAGTAAAATATCAATTCTAGGAAGTGCAACTTCCATGTAGTACACTGGTTATTTATTACACAGCCTGAGCTCTGCAGCCAGAACCTCAGTTATGGGACCTTCAGTAGTTACAAAACCTCTCTGAGCCTTAGTTTTCTCAATTGAAAGTAGGGGTAATAGTATTAACTAACTGCCAAATGTGTCAGAGGAATAAATGAGACAGTCCATGTAAAATGCTTTGAATAGTATATGGCACACAGCACACACTTGGATATTAATAACTTTTATTTTTATGTGACTCCTAAAGGTGCCAACATCTAAATAAATGTGCCAAGAACTTTGAGAGTCCCCGTTCCACCTTATACAACCAACATCCCAATGGCGCCCTTGTATGTGAATATTGACAAAATGAAGCCCCAACTTCAACATCACTAGCAAAGAATAACAGACCCCTGTGCCAAGGACTATGTATCACCTCAGTGCTTTCACACGGGCAAACCTTGGGGATATCACTAAAGACATGGACACCATAAGCTACTGAAGGGAGAAAACATTTGCAATATGTACATTCAACGTCATGCAAAGAGCTTCCTACAAACCAATGAGAAAAAGACAGGCAACCTGATAGAAAACTGAGCAAAAGACCTAAACGGGCACTTCACGAAAAAGGGTATGCAAATGACTAACATCATGAAAATGTAAATTCAGACCACAGGGCAATAAATACAGCTTCATGCCCACCAGAATGAGCACAGTGAAAATGGAAGATATTACCAAATACTGACAGGGAGCAACCAGAACTTCCCTAGTCTGCTAGTAGGAGTATAGTTAACACAATCACTTTGGCATTATCTACCAAAACTTATGATCCAGCAGTTCCCCTCCCAGACATATACCCAACAGAAATATTAAGTGTATATAATGTATACGTATAGATTCAAACACAGTCATAGTCGCAATGGCTGTAACAGCCAAAATCTGCACATAGTTCAAACATCCGTCAATCATATAAGAGGTAATAAACTGTGGTCTATTAATAAAATGGAATACTATGCAGCCACAAGAACAGAAAACTACAAAAGCACATGGCATGGATGAAGGTCACAGACAAAATGACTGAAAGAAGCCAGATACGAAAAGAGAAAATATTGTGTGTCTCCATTTATGTAAAGTTGAAAACACAGCAAACCTGATACATAATTTTAGCAGGCAAAATAGCAGTTACCCTTGGAAGGAGTGTTAGTGACTGGAAAGAAGCACGAGGCGTTTCTGGGAGGTTTGGTAATGCCCTACTTCTTTGGTTGACCTGGGTGCTGGTTATGGGCTGTGTACACTTTGTGCTGAACTCTCAGGATCTGTTTACTGTCTGTATGCATTATATGTCAAGTAAAAATACACTACAGCAAAATCGCTAACAAGAAAGATTTTTTTTAAACCCTAAGAAAAATCGACTTTCATCCACATGGGTTGTTATCCCAACACCAATAGATTTTAGTGCCTACAATCTCTGCTTGTGTAAATGACACATATACATTTCTAATCACTTTCCTATCGCTTGTAATAAATGGCACAGACATTATTCCACAAAACCCCAAAGCCATATAAAGTTAGCACTTTTTCAAAACTCCAGGCTGATTTATCAAGCTGTATGCTGTATGTGACTGTGAAAATGTATTTGGGTTTTATAGACACATGTTCAAATGGCATCATTTTTATGAGACACAAGATGTTTCAGTGAGATAGAAGTGTTGAGGGCCAGGGTAAAGGGAATGAAAACCGAGAACCCTGAGGCGACAACACAGCTCCAAATCAGCAATCCAGGGCTTACATTCCCAATGCTTGCCAGGGGAGTGAAGTAATTCTGGACCTAGAAGCCAGGCAGTCCAAGCAATACTCAGGATCTAGAAGCAAGATGGTAGCTAGGTTGGGAGAAGGCTCATGGACGCTGGAGAAGGAATGCAGAATGCTGGTACACAGATGACTACAAGCTACCCAGAGGTCATGAGAGCAGTGACCAGAACTTCCTGACCCAGTGCAGGAAACAGTGGCTGGGTGTGGGCAGCCCTGGGCACATAAGGAAGTGACTTCAGCCAATCATGGAATAAGAGGATGTGACCCTGGGTGTGCTCAGACCTGTGGCGAGGATGAGTAAACTGGGTTTACCCAGAGGTTCTTTCTCTACTGAGTAGGACCTTCTAAATATACACACATTCATCTGCTCAATCCATTCGGATGTTTACCATCACGGAGTAGGACTTGGGAGGCTTTTGGCTTTGACTGTCCTGGCAGCCAGCTGAGCCAGCAGTATTCTGGAACCTGGTTCTGGGGTGCACAATCATCATCCTAGTCCTTTACATGAGAATGAGGGAAGCAGTGAACCCGATCTCCAAGAACATCGGATCTGCCTGTTTCATCCATCCCTCAGGGATTTCCACAAGCAAAGGGAGATGAAGAACTCAAAATTAAAAAAAATAATAATAACCCATCATCATGTGTATTTACTCCCCTAAGTAGAATTATATTCCTAACCGTTTAGCTTGGGCTAATCCAAAAATGTACTGGTCTGCCTCGAACACATGACTGTGTTGGGACAGGGGAACAGCACTGAGACGTGCACTGGGGGAGAGGAGGTCAAATGCCCCAGGAGAGTATCTGTACATCTCCCAGGTCTTGCCAGGCTTTACCTTGGTTTCTGCCCTGCCAATGTCCTCCACCACCATCTCACCATTTCTTTCCCCATATCATAAAGTCCCATTCACACCTTCACCCTAAAGAGTCCAGGCAGTGAGGTCCTATGGGAAGAACCTTGAAGCCTGTCCTGAAATATAGAAAGCCAGTATATTTAGAATCCACATACGGATATCCTCCCTCCACCATCAAGAGTAGCCCAAGGTCCCCACTTCAGGAGACGTCTCATTTCCCTGTTCTGGCCTGAGAACATCCTTGCCAACTGCAGGGGAATGCTGTTGGCATGTTGGCAGATGAGAGACACACTGGGCTGCCGAGGCGCCTAGCAACAAGTTGGACATTTTATATGGGAAGCGACATCACGTTCTCCAGGGCAATGAGTATTTTTCCTGCATTTAAGAGAATTTAGCAGGCGGAGCTCAGTTCTGCAAGGCAGACGCAATGCCTCAGCGACCGGGAGAACCAGCTCCAGGCTAGCCTCCTGTCCTTCCCACGTGATGTCTGCTCGGAATGGCTTCTCTGGTGCCCTTCAAGTTCATCTCAAAGTTATCAGCATCTAAAAATGCCAACATCGTGACTTATTTAGGAGCACCAGGAACATAGCTGCACAAACCCCCTGCCTGACCAGTCTGGGATACACGGGTGCTTAAACAGTGGGATCCTGTGGGAAACTGTTCCCTGTGAGGTTCCAGCAGCTCCCCAGAAACATCCTAAACACAGTGATTATGGGACACTGTACATGTTGAGGAGAGCATGGGATAGGGGACAAAGGGAGAAGGCAATGGCTAGCAGCTCTCAATATCAAGTCCTTCCCAACAGAAGCATAGATCTGGAAGAAATCACCTCAGGGCCATTCTACATGACCGTCCCCCATGCCAGGGTTTCTCAACCTCAGCACTATGGTATTTTGAACTGGGAAATCCTTCGTTGTGGGGAGGGCTGCCCTGTGCACCGTATGACATCTGGAAGTATCCCTGGCCTCCCTCCACTGAAGACCAACCAACTAGTACCCTTCCTGCTCCTCCACTGTGACAAGCAAAAATACGTCCAGACATTGCCCAGTGTCCCCTGGGAGCACCCAATTGTCCACCTTGAAAAGGGCTGAGAAAATGTAGTCTAGTTGCTATCTCCTAGGGCATTAGGGCAACAGAGACTGCCCCAGGCAAGCCGCACCACCAGCCTTGAGGAGGAGAAGGTGGACCAGGAGGAGAAGGTGCTCCAGCGCCAGCAGACCTCTTCTCTCCACTGCCACAAAACCCACCTCTTCACAGGTCTGGTCCACATCAGGTGGGAGGACTGAGCCTACCAAAGACATCCCCGCTACCGGAGAGTCTCAGGGCCCACCCACCATCACTCCACATGACAATTCACTTCAGGTATTGGGTATACAAATACCACGTACTTGGCGAAGTTATCTGGAAGGAAGGCACATACTTCTCGGGCCCTCGAAACCTTGTTCAACTACCCATTCCAGCTCTACCCTTTCCTCTATTCAACAACCCTGACCAAAAGGTACCCTAAGGTGCCAGATGGCCTAAGAAACATCTACCAACGTCTTGCTCTCCAGGACCTTGGGGAATCAAGAGTGGCAACACCGGCCAAGTAGCATGGAGGCATTTACGGGCCAAGGGACAGACGGGTGGAAGGCCCAAGCCAGAAAGGGTGGTGTGGGCGGAGCCAGGGAGATCCCGCAGGACAGGCTGACAAGCTTCCGGGCTGTAGAAAAGCAAAGATCCTGTGTAACCACAGCTTTGCCCAAGCAGAGATGATGCTGGCCACGCTGCTGACTATAAATCTTGTCCGCTTGGGGCTGGGTTTGGCTCACTAGAGACCCGTCCCCCACCAGCTACAGTTTTGCTAAATTTAGTGCCGTTGCCAGCCACCCAAACGACTCTGCTCTTCGTGTCCATTTCAGGTTCACCCGGGGACAGGCGGAGACTCGTCAAGAAGAGATCTGCCCTCGTGTGACCCTCTCCCTTCCCCACTGAAGTCAGGGCCCAGGGGAGCAGACCATGCAAGACACCACAGTCAGAGGTCTCCAGGGCTCCAAAAGCAGTCTCTGCCCCAAGATGGCACGTGGAGGGCAAAGGGGTTCCTGAGTCTAGAACACCCCTCCCTCTCTGCCTATGCCCACCCACCCAGGCTTCACTCCTGGGGAATCACAGATGCTGTGGCCTGAGAGGGGTCCTGCTCCCTCTGACAAGAGGCTGGTGGGCAATGGAGAGACACACCCCCTGGACGGTCCTGGGGGAGGGCCCTGCCACCTTGGAGATAATAATGTATTTAATCAGATAGTCACAGGCCCTCAATGCAGAGGTTAAGATAGTGGTTTCTAAACCTTGTTGCTCATTGAAATTACCTGGGAAGCTTCAAAAACTACTGATGCCTGAGTGTGACCACCTGAGACTGTGATATAATTAATCTGGACTGTGATGTAATTGGTCTGGACTGTGATATAATTGATCTGGGCTGTGATGTCACTGGCCTGGGCTTTGGAAATTTTAAAAGATTCCCTGGTGGTTCCAATGTTCAGACAAGTTAAAGAACCAACAGATTAAGAACCTGGGCTTCTGCCTGCCGGCTGCCCCAGGTGGACTCCTGACCCAGCCTATGTGCGATGGGACCGCAGGCAAGCCGTTCAACCTGTCTATGCCCCAGTTTCAGCAGCCTGTAAAATGCACATAACAACGTGTATCACATCTCTCAGAGTGTTGCTGGGAAGACTTATGAGACAATCCATGGAAAACAGACAGAACAGTGGTATGTAGTAAGTGCTCAACAAAAGTTAGGAATCATTGCTATTATGGTAAGA